ATTGTCAAAAATATCGTTATTATATAAACTATTCAAGTTCTAATTTCATTTATTAATTGGTATTCAATATTATTTTCTTTTCTTTTAATTTTTATGCTTTTTCACGATTACACTAATTGGACCATTCAATACAGTTATATGAAGTCTTGGTGTACGACGATCACAACGGATAGATTATTTATAGTTATATTATGACTAAAGTGATCATTTATTGATAATATCTGTTCATCAATAATTGAAGTTATATTTTGATTATTATTTCTTGCTCTTAACAACACAGATGATGAAAAACAACGAACTACATCTATAAGTCTATTGGCGATGGATCAAATATTGAATGATCGATATAAAAAAAAAAGAACTACTTAGTAACTGAATTGCGTGAATAACATTTGCTTTTGACTTTGGCTATAGTTCGTATTTATTCTACTGCAACATGTACTTATGACAGAAAGTACACAGATCGTTCTTAGGTTTGCTATTATAACGAGCGCTATTTAATGCATGAGGATAAACGGTAGTAGCTCAGTGTCAAGATGCTAGATAAAACAAAAAAGTTACTACACACAATATCATAGTATATAGGCTGTTTTCTTTCTGCAGAAGAAATCTCACAAAATAAGAAGCAAACTAAGTCATATAATACAAAATAATCTGTCTTTATTCTTTATTATCATTTCAAAATCAAAATCTAGTTCTTGAAATAAAAATGATTTCATACAAATAAAAAAATCTATTTCGATGTTAATATGTCGTCGTTAGGAATAGCATCTGGTCTTGATAGTTCATAAATGCATGTGTCCTATAAGATTATAATTAGACTAAGATATTATATGAAATTCATTTAGTTCTCGAAATACTGACAATTGAACAATTTTGCTTGATATTTTCTTAACATAATAAACAGCTATTTCTAGTAAAATAAACTTGACTAGGATTGATTGTGATAAATTTATTTATTATATAAATGATACATTTAAATGATATTGCTTGGAAATCGTTTTGTAAATTAAATAAAAACCTGATTCATGTTTTAATGAAATGAAAGGTTATTTCTACTATGTATTTGAAAAACAAGTTATTCGTTAATAGAATCTGAAATAAATTGAAAATCATATATTACAATATCAATCTTGAACAAAATCGGATAGATATTTGCAATTAATAGTAAGAAAATTCATTAAATATGAATTTTCGACAAAATAGCAACATAGTTATTTAGATCACTCTCATTCTGCGATGTTTCTAACTATCAATCAGACAAATTAGTCAATAGTATCATTGACCTGGATAAGAACCAAACTATAGCGTACAAAGCAAACAATACATATATAAATACATTACAATATTAACATAGGAAACAATATTTTTAGTACTTTTTCAGATCAGCAACACCGTAATATCCACACTCTTTGATATGATCTATCAGTAAGATCAATTAGTGTATGGAGTGCCATCGATCCGGAGAAGAACCATATTTTTAAATGGATATATAGTTTTTCTACGGATACAAACACTCCATACACTAATTGCTTTGATCATGCATTAATCTATTGGATCCCTGAAAATAAAATGGTGAATATGGATGAGAAGCTGTGTGGATCATGTAGAAACATTCAAGAAAAGATATTGAAAAATCACTACTCGGAAAAAACTGGTGATCAAAAGTGTTGCACGTATGAAAATCTTAGAATAACCATTGTAAATTAGATCGAAATAATAAATATGGTACCAAATTCAATATCTAAAAACATGAAAGATATTTATTTATTTATAGTTTGTTCATAAGAACTACATTAGCAGTTTGATTCAATACCAAAAACTGTCAGGGCAATTCCTGCAACATTCAAATGTGAAATATGATGCAGCTACGGTTACTAATCCGAGGTAGACTGTTTTTTATTTTATCTGTTTTTGAATACATTTCTTCACCATCTTTTTATTTAATCTTCCAAAAATGCTATAAAGAAGTAGTTCATATATTATAACGAGAGGTTATGGATATACTATCTCCGACATTCCTATGATAACGTGTGGGGGGGTCCGAATTTCTAGTTGTATACTTTAACATTTCTTTTAGATCGTGTTCCAAAAATTAGATTATGCAACACGGTGAAACTTTCTTGCAATTGTTTTTTTTTATTAAAGAAGATTCGTATACAATGATTTTCAATTAAAGCTTCTAACAGTTACAATTATGACAATGATATCTGTTTAAAAAATTAACAATTATATTGGATAAAATTATAATAAACCTTGCAAAAGATGATCAAATTGTTATGTACCATCAAATAGGATCTATGATCAGTTCTCTTTTAATATTTTCTTTATTACTTTGGAAGAAGAATAGTAACATGAACAAATCCAAACAAACTGTAATTAGAAATTTAAATGGGCGAAGACATTCAACCAAAAAATTCAAACAAATCATAAGAAAAAGAAAAGTAGCTGAAGCTTGATCAGGTAAACAATGAAACTGCTGCATCATTGCTGACGCACAGCAATTAGATTGACGTCATCAATATGTGACAACTTTGTTTTTCTTTTTTTTCTCCTCTGTTCTATACATCATTTAAGCAAAAGTATTGTTAAGATGAAAGCTTTTTTTATATTCATCATATCAGCCATTATTATTGATTTATGTTCAGCGCGGGTAATTTATTCCAGTAGCAGTAGCTCTAGTGGAGCGGGCAATGCAATCATTGCGGCTATTGTCATACCTAGCGTTTTTGGCCTCATCATTGTGATCCTTCTTATTGTCTGTTGCAAAATAAAATATGACAAGAGGAAAAGAATGGGTGTTTTGCCGTGGTCCAGAAACATAAATTTAATTGAATACAATAACCCATATGCACCACCATCTTATAATCAAGTACCACCTTATGCACAACCACCACCCTACGAATATCCACCACCTTATTTAGGACCTAGTGCGCCCGTCGAACCAACAAAAACGATGGTTAATTCATGAAACATCATTTTAATGTGAATATATTTTTGGCACAATCAATCATAAATGAATTATCACGCAAAACAATGAACTTAAACGTCAATAATATGATTTTGTAGATGTGATATGATCACAAACAAAAATTGTGTTATCATTGTTATTGTGTGCATTTTTGACCTAATTCATCGATTTTTATCACAAATTTCTTTTTGATATAAACATAGATTCAACGAAATTATTAATAAATCTGAAAGAAAAAATGACTCTCGTATTATTGGATCTTTTCTTGGGATTGAACTACAATATTCAATTTAAACAAAAATTATACTTGAAATGTGCTAACGTCACAAGAAGAAAATAATCAAATTCTTCTGTAAACATGTCCTTCATATTTGACTTAATGCAATAAAAGTAATGCTATTCATAGTCTTCTACGAACAAAAATTTTTCACTTATTCTTGTGCAATGGTAGATTTACTTCTACGTCATAGTGTACGTAATACAATCATCTATATGTTGTATTTTATCTAGGTATTATATTGATTATTTATTCATTTATATAAGAATGGTAAATTTTGATGATTTTTCAAGGACAACAGTAACTATACCACAGCAAACGAAAGTGTATCCCGTTGCGGTGTTCAGTTCTCGTGAAGATATTCCGAAAAAACTTCGTTTTCAAAGATCAAACACATTTCTTGTAGCTAAGAAGGTTCACAAGTGATCATTCATCATGGTAATAATCATTGATGGTATCACAGCTCTCCAATGAGAAGCCAATCTGGCTCAAAATTCTACTTGCTCGACTACTCATAGTCTCATAAACATAAAACTAACCACATGATTATGATAGACAACAATCCTGCATGCGACAAATATGATACTAATCTAGTGTATATGAAAATTTTTAACAATCAAACGAGAAAAGCTTTGATTCATATTGTCTTCTTGCTTCAGAGCTGTCAATTCATCAATTTTTACTTGTAGACCGTATAACCCTACAAGAAATGTATGTTTAATTTTTTTCGAAAAGAAATATTTAAGCATTTTCGCACCCGAAAACTAAACACGATAAAGAGAGACATTTTTATTAACTGCATCATTGTTATTTTTGTTGTTGAAGCATCATCAAAATTTTCCTTTTTCAAATAAATAAGAAAAAAGCAACCAACGTCACATTTAAGTAAAATATAAAGTATGGGCGTATATGTAGTTGACTGTATTGTTTATGTCGTGATGTAGAAATGAGTATACGATTATACAAAAGAAAAGAAAAAAAAAAGAAACGATTGAAAAACGAACTTCTTTTTATTCGTGGAGAAGTGAAGTCTTCCATTTCTTGTTGCTTTTTCAGTTCTTTATTCGGGATTATATTTAAGAAAAAAAAAACGATTTATTGCTGATGCATCTCATATCTTATCTATCGTTATTATCAATATATATCCTGCAAGCACTACTAAATCTTCTAGTGAAAGTAGTGGTTCATTTTTGAGGATACATTTATTCTAATGATTGTGGTGAATACTGTTGGCGAAACGTTATTACTATAAGTGTCTCAGTTCTGTACCATCAAAATTACTGTGATCAAGAAAAATAAGGGAATAAATATTCGGTCTTTTCTACAAAAATAACTTTAGTTCGGCAGCATAATCAGCATGTATGTCTATCCTTTAATCAAATATCACTTTGTTTTCTTCACATAATGTACCAATTGAATCAACAAAAAGGATGCTCATATGTTGAAACATGGTTTCATCTAAGCATTCTGGCGATCATATTGATTATAAATGTGTTATAATGTGAAATAATGAACTCCTACAGTCATAATATTGTCAATTATCGATGTAATCAACATTCTTTTTGACTTACAAAAATCTTCATGCATACAGATTTCTGATTTGTCATCTGAAAAGATACTAAAGTGTGTTTTTGTTAGTATGAAAAATCAAATGATAAATGAAACATAATATCATATTAAACATTAATAATTATTTAATTCTATGAAAATAGAAAAGAAACAAAATCTATAATATTACTAAAATTAACTTAATTAAATATCACATAATATTAATTTTTCTTGTTCAATACCAATAATCATTGAATTAATTCCAAATTCTTGTAATCCAAAAGGGAAATCAAATGGTAATAAATTATATGTATTTATTCCTATTGAATAAATATAATATTTTCCAGATAAACTCTTAATAAACCAATAATCATTTCGAAATGGAAAAAATCTATCAACATAATCATTATCTAATTGTATTATTTTTACTAAATTTAAATTTTCATCACGTAATTCAAAACGTCTATAAATTGATGAACCTTTACAAATAAGTAAACCTATATGTAAATTCGAAATTGTATTCATATGTGATATCCATTCATTTTTGTCATTCGTTAAACAATCCCAATGTTTAAAACACTCATTCAAATAAATATCATTTCCATTATCATGTGAATATTTCCATAATTCAATACAAGTACCAGACGTACAATATGAAATATAAAGTGATGTGTCATTGAAACAAGATATACACCGAAAACTAAATTAAAGAAAAAGAAACAAAGATAAATCTTAAAATCGAATATTTTTTCTTGGGTTACATGAATTTCGGCCCGAACTTTCGACTCGGTCCGAAATTCCGGTGAATTTTCGAGCCGGGCCGAAAGTCCTAGAGGAATTTCGGTCCATCCTTAGAATGATCTCACTGACCCCTAAAAAAAAGTTTAATTTTTTTAATTAATTGCTAGATATCGTAGTGCTGAGCGGGACACTTAGTACTGAGCAGGACGATATGGGCGTGGACATAGCTGTGGACGCCGGTCAACGCAAAAAAGATACGAACATACCACATACGCCTGCACCCACCCTAGCACCCCACAAGCTTACACCTACACCCACACCCATGGTATTCTGCTCAACACTGCACCACGCCGTCCTGCTCAGCACTACAATATCTAGCAATCAATTAAAAAAATTAAATTTTTTTTTGGGGGTCAATGAGGTCATTCTAAGGATGGGCCGAAATTCCTCTAGGACTTTCGGTGCGGCCCGAAAATTCACCGGAATTTCGGACCGGGCCGAAAATTTCATGGGCCGAAATTCTGGTCTCCCTTTTTTCTTTCCTAACGGGTAATCTTTGTATCGTGTAATAGAAATTTGTGTGAATTGATCTGTTTTATAATTGAATGAAAATAAATATCGTTGAAAAAGAATGAGAAATACGTCAGCAAATGAACACCATTTAATATCCACAATATCGGTATCATTTATTCTTATTTGATGATTATTAGATAACATAATCGAAGATGTTAATAATGTTTGTGGTACTGAAAAACATAAATTTTTCATTAAGAAAAACTTGAATAAATTTATGAACTAACTGTTTAATAGACGAGTTTTAAAGTTTTCATTAATATAATGTAATTGTCTTTGAGTATCTAACCATAAAATAGATTCATTATTTTTACTTGATACAAATTTCTTCATATTTTCAACTGATATTGTTCGATAAGGTTCGAGTTGATTATTCGATAATGTCTGTCGATATGAAAATACATTACATGCATTAATTAAAGCATCAATAGAAATATTTTTTATATTGATATTTTGTTCACATCGAACTGATTCAAAAAATTGACGAAGTTGATTTAGATCGTATTCAATCGGTAATAATTGCTATGCAAAAAAAAATTAATAAAGAAAAAGAGGAAAGAAAAAATAATTAAACTACTCGTTGAGATATTTCATCAATACGCTGTACTGTTAATAATTGTGTTCCTAAATCCAAAAGTTTTAATCTTACGTATTCTTTAATGATATTTAAATGTTGATTTAATTCTTTTTCTAAGCAACTAAGTTCATTTAAATGTAATTTATAGATGCTTTCAATGTCATCAGATATTTGTTCTTTCCAAGCATCAAGTTTATTATGAGCATTTTGAAATGTTTTTCGAGTATCAAGATTTGAAACATGATTTACAAATCCATCCAATTCATTAGATAATTCTTGTACTCGTATAATATTTAAAGTATTGTGTTGGTTAAGATGTTCAAGACATAAACTTTTTGGACAATGGTGACAAGAAAAATATGCTATTTTTGAACATTCAGTTTCATATTCGCATATATTTATTGAATTCATTGATGATAATAAATCTGAAGAGAGAGAACTCAGTATGATACTTTCATTAAATATCTAAAAAGAAAAAAAAAAGATGAAAACGAAGCTCCCTAAATGTATTGTATTCATAATTTTATTTTGTAAAATCTGATTTGTTAGTCTGTTAAAGAAAGTGAACAATCTAATGAATAAGAACAATAAATTTATAGCAATGTCTTAAGTTTATTTCCACAATAAAAGAAACATTGTATTATACACACGCAAAATTTCAACAATTAATTGCGTTTTATTAGTTCTACAATAATATTTTGTTTTATGATTGAATCCAAAATGTTGATCGATACAGTAATAACCATATTGGTATAATTGTTAAACATACAACATCTACTGTCCAAGTATTAAATAAATGATAAGATGCAATATACGTATCAAAATCATTTGAAAATTGAACAAAATTAGGAAAAACTATTTTACTAGCCATTAATAAACGTGCTAAATAATAATAAAGAGCAAGAAAGACTAATGGATTAAGAAATGTAATGAATAATAATCGACAACATAATTTAATAAACCAATGATCTAATTTTGAAAAACCAGCAATCATATAACATGGCATAAGAAAACAAGCAGTAAGAAAAGCCATAGAATAATTTAATAATGAAAGACAACCTAATAAAGCTGAACCCATTAATAAAAGAATAAATTGAAAATAATCAAATTGATATACATTCGAACGAAATCGACGTAAAATCAATGGACTTATAAACATAGTTATTAAACTAATACTTAAGAACGATAATTTTAAAGGTATCCATGTCAATACATATGATATAGCAAGACATTCAAATATTTCAATAAATATTGGTGAATGATCAATATGAAATTTCATTGTACGACCTTGTGTAGTAGACAAATTTGTTGATGACGAAGTAAGAAATGACATATAAAGAACAATTGAACGAATTAAAGCTGGTAAAACAATTAAACCAAGTGGAATCATATATGTTGCAATTGAAACAAAATTTCGATGATTTATATGTAGATAAAAGAAAAATGATTGATGAAAACGTTCAAGTAAATTATTTAAACTACGAATAAAACCTAAATATATCAAAAAAATATGTTAGAGCAATCGCTGTGGAATTAAAATGTAAACTATGATGTAATCGTGTTGTTAAACACAAGAAGATTGTTTTATTCTATTTATTTTGGAACACATTTCATCAGCATCCTTTTATTTAATCCTCCGGAAATAAAATAAGGAAGTAATGTTCGCGCCACAATAAAAAAATGAGCGCATGTAAACTCAATAACTTGACAACGGCAACAAACAATTAGTGACCAGTAGTTCTCAGAAATTTAAAGAGAAAAACTCTAGATATCTTTTTTTCGAATACTGTATAAAACAAAATTATTTTTAAACCTATCATCTTCTCAAAAAATTAAAACATAGTATCAGACAAAAAGACGTCACGAATAGTACTCTTTCGATTGCTGAAAACCACAGATCGATAACTGGTTTTTTTTTGAGTTGTTAAGTTTGCATCTATTACTCTTCAATGCTGGTGTGGACATTAGTTCGTATATTATAACAAAATTCTTATGATATGCAGTCTGTAGAAAGTAAAAATTTCTACCTAATATAATCAGATCATTGATAAAGAAACAAAAAAAAAATATTAAATTTTTACCTTCAATAACATCATCGAAAGCTCTCATTGTAACAGGAGAAGTTTGATATTCATGGTGTTTATCTAAACTTCCAAAGAGAGTTATCATTTCAATACGATAATGTAAAAATTGTCCATGTACGCCATCAGATATACCAGTTGCTAATGTTAAAACATTAAGTAATAATGTTCGTGCTGATTTAAGTATATAATTAACAAAAGGTTCATTTGTTGATAATTCAACATAAACACTATATAATGTAGTTGCTATAGAATTTTTATCACATAAATGTACAATTGTATTAACTAAATCAAGATTTGGTAATTGACCATTAATACCATTATGTCGTAAATCAATTGAATAGAATTTTTCATGAGGAAATTCTAATGCTAAACCAGCTTGAATTGAACCAGCATGAGCATCAAGTGGTAAAGAATATGGATTATTACTAAAATAAGCATCTAACCATACACGTGTACCATATTCTTGTGCTGCAGGAAAAAGTAGAATAATATCTTTTGACATATAAGGTTTACGATGAAGTGCAAAACCAATTGCTAATGTATGAGCAATGCCTAAAATAAATATTTTATTAATTTAAATCAATGTAGTTTTCTTTGTATTTACCGAATAGATTAGCTTTGTATTGTTGTGATTTTGTTTGAGTACGAACATGAAGTGGGGCAACAAGAATAATTGATTCTGTTGATGCTAATCTTGGTGCTCGTACAATACCATAAATATTTTCTTCTTGTTTATTAGTTGAATTTCTTCCAATATCTTGTTTATATGCTTCAATATTATTTTCAAGTAACATTAATTGAATAACATCAGCTATAGTATTATTTTTAAATCCTGTTCGTAATTGCCCCATAATATGACGAATATGCTCAGCAGATACGAATAAATCACTAGAAACAAGTCCAGGTGATAGAGCATTTTCAGATAAATATGTTCGACGACTAATAGCCGGCGAAGTTAAATACAAAAAACCTAATAAACCAATAAGAAATAAACCAGAATAAACTTGAAATTGAAATTTATAAAAATTCTGCGGAATATCCCGCGATAATAAATTGCTTAAAAGAGGCATCTAGAAAATAGAAAAAAAATTATTAAAAATTAGAAGTATTGTTCTCGTTGACTAGAGATATGAAATACTCGATTTAATATATATTCTTCAAGTTTAGTAGTTAAAAATGTATACAACTGATTACCTGTCCCCTTTTGTCGTTCTGTTGAGTCTATTGACTGGTGGTTGGTTAATGGGAATATCGAATGAAAGAAAAGAAGAAATTTTAGAGAAGACGGTTGCTTAGAAATGTACAAGAAAAATGGCGAATACAGAACAACACAAAAATACTAAAACAAACAATAATCGTTTGTTATTTTACATAATGGAAGTACATATTTTTGAAGCCATAAAAATAACATCATATTTTTCTTGTGAAGACATATTTTTCTTTTTTCAGTTTGATAATCATGGATTTAAATGATACTCATGTTCCATGTATTAATCAATCCGGTATATTCGATTGGGAACAAGATCGTTTAGAAGCTGAATATCGTCTTGGACTTTTCCCACCATCTGTTCCATCCTTACAAGGACCACTTTTATATGGCGCTCCATCGACTACAAACGATACAATAAATACTCCAGCGTTAATATGTCGACCAGATCTTCATGCAGATCATGTTTCAACAACTTACACACTTCTTCGACCGATGCCTTCATCTTATCATTGTCTTTTAGATCCATCACGAAGACTTCATGATAAGCCTCATCTCGATGAATTAGGTGATAATGTTACAGTGAGCATTCCAGGTCTTACTCGTTTTGATCGTGATCCACCTTTATCATTCGATCTACCGAAATTAAATGGTCCATTGAATAGAGAACAACCTGAATACACGTGGTATCATGATAACGAAACAGAAATAGGCAAAATTTTTCCTGAAAACTATTGGAATCGACATAAACTTGCAGGAAAATCACCTTCTGCTTATCTTGTACCTACTGTGCTTTAAAACAGAAAAACGATTTAAAATAATATCCCTATCCTAAATTCCTTTAGTTTTCTACACTTTTGTTTTTATTTTTTAATTAATATTCACATTAGTTTTAGATTACAAATGATAGAATAAGAATTTGCTTATGAATGAGCCTAACGTATTGATTGATTGTGGTTCGTATACAAATCGTCGCCGGTCAAAAGATGGTGGTCCCGATGAAATTTACAAACTTTGTAATTATATAAGGGTTTCAAAATGTACAGCTTATTATTATTTTTAAGACATGAATTTCTTTTTTCGGTTCATTTTCTATTCGATCTGACATCGAGTTATATAAGAAAAAAAAACAATCAAATTGATTTTGAACTCATTGGCAATTATGTGCTCTGTCATGAATTACTTAATTGATATCTATATTAGTTCTTACTCACAGATTCACGAGAAATTGAACTTATCCTGTTTTACTTTACTATAGTCACGTCTCTTCTCCAACGTTAACAGTAGGAAGTATAAACCTAATTCCACTCATATTCACACCCTAAAAGGACTAAAGGAACGAAAAGGAGTCAAGTTTATGAGAGTCATACTAACTTCAAAAGTGGTAAAGTAAAACAGAATATATTTAATTTTTGGTGAACTCTTTGTTTAACTTGCATCATTGTAAATTGATGATGCATTTTGTTGACAAAAAAAAGAACACGATTTAATAATATACCTTCTTGACGCGTATGTTCTAATGCTTTGTATCACCAATAAAAACAGTGAATATTGAAGAATCAATTAATACTTTACACGATCAATAGATATCAATACCGTTAATGTCAACACGTCTAAATGAATATAAAGTATCAGCAAATAATAAAAGAAGTTTTCTTTCAAGATGAGTACTAAGAAAAAATTCGACGGCTAATGTATCGATAATAAGACCTCATCATCATAATAATTATTTTTATGATATGGCTTTATGATTGAATCACTGTTGAGTATAAGTAAGATTTAAAGCTATCTATATATACCTATTTTGTTTATGACAAGTTCTCTTCTCATAGATATGCTTCATTATTCAATCATGATAAAAAGAAAAATATAAACTACATTTTCTTCTGTACTCCACAAAGATTTCATATCTTGCTTGTGTGATCATTGTATTGTCTTTGCAGATAGATGTTCATCATAACTGATATGTATCAAGGACGTATCCATCGCTATCTATCTATTTAAAATTGAATACTTTTTTTCGATAATCATAATTTTTTATAGGATAATCTTCAATTTAAATTAGCCACAAGTTTACATGATTGATACATTAGCCATGGCTGTTATTGTCAATGATTATATCTTCAAGCAGCTGCTTCTTAATTGCGGATACTTTCTTCTGCCGATTAAGAAAAAATATTCGCAAAGCGAAATCACGGAAAGAGGACAAAAATGACTACAAATTGGAACATGTCCGCAATGTAGAAGCAAGATACTAATTTATTATGTAAAAAAGAAAAAGAAACATCCTAAATGAAAGAAAAATGAACATTTAACTTTGTATAGGGTGTGGTTATGCATGTTTGTTTTCTAACAATCCTCATCCACATTACATATGTTGCTGTAATATAGATTTTTCATGAATACAATATATTAATGAAAAGCATAATCTCGCATTTTAATTCTATTTCTTTATAGGAGAGTAAGCATAGAGATCACTCTATCGAAAACGTATCCAATCTAATTACTGATTATGTCGTATAGGCTACTCTGATTTAGTTATATTTCAGATGGGTGTTGATGTGAGTGTGGATGTCGAGGTGATGGATGTGCTTGAAGAAGACACGTACACTTATACCCAAAATCGAAATTGATATCGAGTAAAAGTCTGTTTTCCCTAGCCAGTTCTACCTATATAGTTAGCCGTTTGATTGATTTTGAAGTCATAATACACAACTCACTCTCTTCGAAATAAATTCTTTAATAAATTTGAAATTGTCGAATACATTATCAAGTGTCGCTGTCTAATGTCCGCGTCAGAATTAAAGATGGATTAGTGTAAATTGAATAACTCAACAACGGCAAGAACTAGCGACCTACAATTTTCACCAATGGAAAGAGGACACTGGGAGACGTAGTTGTTCACGATATGGTGTTTCGGACAAAATTGCTTTGGACACTGTTATGTCTGGAAATCTTTTCTGAGAAGACGTACAGATGGTATGTGTTAAGGAAATATTCTTCCTTATGAACTATAGATGTGCATGTTCATTTTCCTTTCTCTTTCTGTTACATGTATCTGTTCTTTAGTTCTTGCTCAATTGAAATTGTTCGTTCGTGTCTATCTTCTTACGGTTCATAAACATCGATATTGACCTTGTCTCTTTTTATTCTTTTGCGCATTAATCTTTCTATCACATAGCTTATAATACGTGATAGTGTTATCGTCATATATATACATATGCACTTCTTCCATTTTATGCAGAATGATTATTGCTGGCATTCTCCTCTTCTTAATTCTTTCATGCTTTCATTCTCTTCTTGATTCTTTCCTTCTTTCGTGTTTTCTTCTTCATTATTGAAATAAAATTGAACTCACGTTCAACAAAAAACACAAAACTTACAGTATGCCACTACAATGAATTTTTATTTTGATATTGTCATTAGATAGAGGGACTTCAGATCTATAGTTCAAAATACAATGCGCTTTTTTTTACTTTTCATTACATTTTAATCGAAATGTCAAGCTATTATGATGAAAAGTGCGAAAACTTAGTAAAAAATCAGCAAAATTCCCAATTATTTGAGCATGTAAATACATGATTCCATTTGCTCAAATATAGAATGTAATAAGAGAACCATTTACATTGTATCTTGAACTATAGATCTGAAGTTTCTCTATCAAATGAGAATATCAAAATAAAAATTCATTATATTGGCATACCATATGTACGTTTCCTCAAAAAAGATTTTCAGAAATAACAGTGTCCAAAACAATTTTTTCCGAAACCATATCATGAAAAAGTATGTCTCCCGATCCCCTCTTTCGATTGATGAAAACCCCAGATCGCTAGCTCTTGTCGTTGTTCAGTTATTCAATTTATACCAACCTCTCTTTAATTTTGGTGCAAACATTAGTATTTTTATTCTAGATGGATTTTATGCTTTTTTGCTTGTATTTTATTTGAGAATAAGATAGTTATTCTCTAAAGACGACACTACAGTTGCTAGTACAAACAATAGAATTATTTTGAACACATGTGTTCAAAGTCGTGCGATATACTACATTATTTTTTTTCTATATTTTATTGCTTTTTTCTTGACTACCGGATGTGGCTTCCTCACATTAGTTAACAGAAACTGTTATCGACACCAATATATTGTGCATTTTCATTACATATACTTTTCAGTTTCATTCGTATATATGCATAATAGACTTTCTCTAGTGTAATTATTTTTCCTTTTTTGATAAAGATACTTTCTCTTTCTTTTTCCAATGATAAAATTGTGCAGGACACTCCAGTTTTACTTTCTATATCATGACGAATATCTTGAAGTCAAATGAAATTATATCATTCAATTTTGTTGCATAATATTATATGTACTACTGACATCTTGTTCGCCAGAAAGTACACAAGAGGGAAATATCATAATATTACATAATTCGCGTACTAAGATTCAAAAAATATCTAACAAGATATCTACTTAATGAATTTGCAGTATTCATATGTCGTAGAACTAACGATTTTCAGCGAATTTGGTGTAACGAGGTACATACTCAACTCTATAGCCACATACCTCCGAAGTTCGCGATATCGAGGTAAAGATGAAAGGTAGGACCTATCCTGATACACATTTTCGGTCTGAAACTTAAACACTCACCCATACTTCTATGCTTCAAGTATTGAAAATCGATAAAAAATCACGATTCTATTTTCCTACGAAAGGTTCCGACGCAAACCCATGGTGTCAATGATGATATTGAGACAAATGAAGTGAACACTATTCACTACAACTATTGAATTAGTTATGAAGTTTATCTTGGTTGCCATTTTGAATGGCCTCACAGAACTTTTTCAAAACGTTCCCATGATCATTGAAGCAGAAAAAAAAGAGTGTTCATTACATTTCCTAACAGCTAATTGTCTTTTTATGGCATGAATTATTCAGTTGTAATCGAAGCGTATTATTTCTGAGGTCCAGAAACTCTAGAAAAGGCCACTTTACTGTAAATTACAAAGATAAAGAAGACACAATGAGACATTTCATTGGAGTTCGCTTATCTAAATAACGCAAGAAACTGATGGAACTCTTATTACTTAGAAAACTGACAGACCTAAAAGAAGTTACAGAACTCGAGAAACTATAGGATCTTTCAGAAGTCAAGGAATTTATGCCACTTGCAGAACTGAAGGAATTCATTGAATTCTCAGAATACAAGAAACACGAGTATACCAACTTATACAAGGAATCTAAAGAAGTTAAAGAACTCAAGGAATTACAGAACTTTGTGGGTGTGAGTGTGAGTGAAGAAAAGATTCACACTCACATCTTCAAGTCATCAGAGACGCCAAAAGTATATCCCTAAGGTAAGCAAGATTTGATTACCTCTAAAACATATTTGTTGATTTTTCAGGTCTAGTTCTACAGAAAGATTTTACTAATTGCTCTAGATATAATCATTTGTCCAGATAGTTTCAAAGATCAGTCATCAAACATCTCAAAACCTTCGAGAATCAAAACAATTTTTTATAAATTCTTACACTAGGCAATTCAGACAACATGTTCGTATGTTTATTGCAAAAATGTTTTTATTGACAGAAATTGAGCTTTCTGAAGGAACATGGTTTTTACTAGAGGAACATTATCTTTTGTTCTTCTAATTAAATTTTCAACGATTCAAAGATTAATTCTTGTAACAGTTTTTCTTTTTTGGCAACGGTTGCTGTTTCGCTCTTACTCATTAATAGGAAAAATTGAATTTCTGTTTTAACGAACGGTATTTCGAGTTTTCAGCGTACTGGAAGACAATCATTCGTGAAGACATTCGTTTCGCATATGAATACTGAGTGTGTAGTGTGTTCATGTTCCAAATGTATTCGAATATTCTCATCGATCGACGTAAGTTATGTAATTTTGAAAGGAGCATCAGTTTTTATCGATGTTTCTCTGTTGAATTCATAAGTATTCGAAAAAAGATCATTTAATGGTAAGATTCATTTTAATGAATTTCCAATATTCGATTGGCTCATTAGTCGTATCCAGTCTAGGAGATCTTGCCATCCTCCGTACTGATTTTTTTTGTATTCATTATAAATACATAAAATCAAACGTACATTATTGTTACTTTTCAGTTTAAATCAATTGCATACTATTTATTAATGTTAATTATCAAAAATTTTATAATATAATTAATAATGAAACGACAACAGTTATACTTTTCTCTTTTCTTATATGTTCTTATGATTCTAAAGAAAGCAAAGAAAAATAAATCCATCCCTTCACACGTATTAAAATTTTGTTGTTCTATCTATTTATCTATTTGTTCGTTCGTGAAAACATTCGTCATTATCGTCGATATCGTACTTGAATTTTCTTCTAGTAGAATTATAGCGATTGGTGACATTAGAAGAGATATGAATTCAAAATATCAAACGAATTCTAATGTATCTCATTTACTATCACCATTATTAACCCCAACGTCTTCATTACCAAAAACCGTTCGAACTCCAATTGCACGACAACAAACAATGATGAATCATGACAACATGTCTTATCGTTACACAACTGTTTGTTAAGATTCTTTTTATCATATGTTTAAAATGACTGATCTTATGCTTCAGATTACATTACTGTCTTTACGATCACCAACGGAAATAACAATATTTCCAGATCATCTAGTCGAACGACGTTTTCTTGAGTAAATATTTGAAAAAATTTTGTTTTTGTTTTGATTGCATATATTTAGTGAAGAAAACTATATTGATCTCGATCGAATGTTAGTAGAAAAAGCTGGTAAATTTGATTTTAAATCATTCGATATGCGTAATGGACCAATGATGCCAAGTAGAATACATAAATATGATTTTTCTGATTCTGCAGTGATTGAAGTAAATTATTTTTGTTTCATTTACATTTTCTTTTTCTCTATTAAACTTATTTAGAAAGTAAAAAATCGTCGTCCAAAAGATTCTTTAACACCGCAACAAGTAGCTGCTCTCACTTCAGTTGCAACACGCTATCAATCATCAACATTGTTAAACTCTCATCAAATAAAATCATCACATGTTTGGATTGATGATTATAGTCATCAACAAATACAATTTAATTTATCACGACATCTTCCACCACCACAACCTTTAATGCCTTATGCAAGACAAAATCCTAATCAATGTGAATTATATACAAATCAAATTAAATCTCTTTTACCAACTTATCAATCAACTATTGAACAGAAAAATAATAACACCATCATTAAAAAAATAAATACAATTCCAATTTTACAACGGTTATTTGAGGCTCAACAGCTTCAACAGTAAATGAATATTTTCATTTCTCTAAATATATGTTAACGTTTAAACTTAAATTACATTACAATATCAGATTGAGGAGCAAATTAATGTTAAAACTCGAATTAGTCTCCGGATCGATATCAAATTCGGATCCGGATTCAGAGTGATAAAATGAGAGGAAGCAATAACATGTCAATTAATACAACTATCATTGGGCAGATTTATTAAAGACTGGACACGATTATGGACAATTTTGTATTGAAGTAATTCTTGCATATTAAAACGTTCATAATTTGACGATTTCAAATTTAATTGATCAATGGAGTATTGTATTAATTTAAATGGCGTTGTTCTCTCTCATTTCATCAATAAGAATTCGAATAAGACATCAATCTATAGACTAATTCAAGTTTTAACATCAATTTACTTCTCAATCCGAGATTGGGCATAATCTCTATTTAGAAATCAACACAGAAAAATCAATTCGTCACCAATAACAGATATTGTAAGTAATTCATCAGAACAAAATTATAAATAATATTCTGTTTAGTTTGATCAACAATCACCTTCGTATCTAACATCAACACCAAAACATTATGAACAAGGTTTATATGCATTTTGCACACCACCAACACCAAAGCAATTAAATTGGAATAAATCATTCGAACGAATTTTTTCAATTAATCAAAGTCATAAAGTATTCATTGTTTTTTTCTCTAAACTTGTCACATTCATTACATATTTTATTATCATTTTAGACGGCTAACAAACAACATCAAGTAAATTTCGTTTTTCATTTTCATTGATAGTAATCTATATTATTATTGTTATTAGAATGTATTTACTCAATTGATTAATGAACATCTAAAATTTTCCGCAACAATGGAAACACCTACTACACCAAATATAAGCATTAATGAAACGAATAATAATACTCATCATAGTAAAAAGGATGATGATAAACAAAATTTTTATTCAGCACCACTATCACGTATATCTCATTGAAACAAATTCGAAACATTATGTTTTCTCTTTTTGTTGTCTAGCTATTCAACAACATGAGAGTTCACCATCGCTCTTGAGCAATCATACAGTAGATAAATTATGTTTTTCAACATCAGTTGAAAATCATCCATTAGAATATTGGTTTGGTACATCTATATATACAAACACTTATCCACGTATGCCATCAGATCATGTTTTATCAGCATGTGATTTCGAACAGTGACGTTGGTTTTTTGTTTTGTTTTTAACATTGAAGTTCTTTTTATCGTTTATTAGAAGTCCACTGATTTGGAATGATGATTTTAAAATAAAAAGAAAAGATAGTTTTATCTTAAAGTTCAACAATACGTTTTATAGAAAATAGATGATAAGGATGAATTTTGAATGTTGGATCAAGTGCGATTTCCATACGAGATAATGATGAACGGTATTCGTTTATGTTAGTTGTAGATGAAAGAATAGCAGCACTTTGATTCGTATTACTAAATATGGAAGAATATATTTGTTAAAAATTATCTAGAAAATAATTGATCGTACTTAGTTTTATTGTTTATTGTACTAATTGGAAGTTTGATCGAATTTTGACTTTGTGAAGTGCCTATATAAACTGGATATTGTTCTTGTTTTTCTTCATTCTCACGTTGAATTCTTTCGATTTTACCTAATAAAAATTAGGTTTTTTTTCTCGAGAATATTTTAGAAAAAGAAAAAAAAAATCAAACGTCGTGCTCGTATCATATTTCCACAAAGAATACCAAAGATTATGGCAACAGACACAATAAAACTGACACCTAATACTAACATAGGTAATGCCTTTTCTATTCCTATTTTGTAACATAGACAAAAAAGAAATATTAGGAATAGTTGTAAATAGCACTTACCAATACGTTCGATGGACATTTTGAAAAAGATCGTTTATCAATTAAAGAAGTTCACTCATTTACGCGCCAATACATATCTTTGTGAATGCTTTACTATTGATTCACATCGGATATTTCCATATCTTTAATTTCAATTTTTTTGAGTACATAAACATGATTTGTTTCTGTCAAAACGAATTTTTTTTTTCTTAGAAATATTAGCTTCTTGTACTCAAAAATAAGGTCGATAAAAAACAAAAAGGAAATTTGAAAGAAAAAAGTCCATTTGCGATAGAAAATCCCTGGCAGAGACCCTCATCCTAAAATCCTGTGAAAAAAAAACATTTTATTTTTAAATTTGACAGATGGTACATTACTCGATGCACTATTTCCATCTTAATTCCAAATACACTTGTATTTTTCTGCCAGAGTACTTCTCTGACAAAGAAAATATGAAAAACGTTGAAAAAAAAATACAAAGTTTCTGGAAAACTTATATCACAATTCAGAAGCATTTGTGTTAATTGAGTGTATGTCCTAGATATAGAAGAACATCCTCTGAAAGTTTCGTCGACATTTGAATAATGGAAAAAAGTGGCAGTCAACTTTACTGAAGACGTTTTTCGGAAGAAAAACTTTTCTTATAAATCGATAGAGCAGAAGTCCTAGTTCCAGAATATATGTGATTTAGTGTAGAACTCTTTTCATTTTTTATATGCAGAATTTACAACTAGGATAACAGTTTTTTGCAAAAAAACTAGTCGTCAATCAAAGTGCATTAGTTACTTTTTTTCAAATCTCGATAAAGTTCATTTTCACTTTTCCATCTATTGCCCACTCTGTTGCCCACCCTGCATCGCTAATAGGATAATATTATAATGAAGAAACAATGTGTTCAAATCATTGACTACGTCTTTATATATTTTATGAAAACAAAAGATGAAAGAAAAAGAAATTAATATTTTTACAACATAACAGGTATTAAGGACGAAATTGTTCTGATTTCACTGTAAATGCTGGACGCGGTGATGTAAAACGATTAGTTTTTGGATCAAGAAATATATAATAAGGTCGATTTTGACCATCAATGCCTAATACACCAATATTACCATCACGTAATCGAAATGTTTTATCAAATTGTTTGAATTTTAAATTAGGTGATATCGGTATCCATTCACTAAAATTGTCTAATACAGCACAATTTAAATTTGTCGATAATTGTAAATTATTATTTGTATCAATTGCTAACAAATAACATGTTTGATCAGGACTTGATTGATTTAATGGCTTCGATGTTATAAAAGCAGGTTGACTAATAAATTGATGTCGTTGTTCTCGACCAATAGATTGCCATGTACTCCATACACCCGATTTCGAAAGAATTCGATAAATTTGTCCATTTTCAAATATAACAAAACAGTATCGATGTATATGTCCAACATAACTACAAACAGGTGCTGTTTCATCACGTATTCGATCAGTTGGATTACCCAATTGAGTTGTTTGCCATGTATCTTTTGATAATTCAACATATTCTGTAAGAACATATGCTGAATTTCGAGCAAAACAATAAATTTGTCGACTAGTCAATAATTCATAAATATAACACATTGGATCACCTGATAAAGATGATGCAATATTATGTGCTGATAATATTTCATCATCAGCAATTATTCGACGATAAAGTATATTTTGAGAATTACGAACATACACAGCAACATTATTTATATTAGTTAAACCAAATGCAGTACCTCGATTTGTACCACCTATATTTTCTATACTATGAAACCCTTTTTGTGTAAATTGAGCAAGTTTAAGAGAATGTTGAGTATCTTGAATACTTAAACCAAAACAATATTCGGTGTCGTTACTATATAGAGACAAATAAAATTATTTTTCGTAAATACAGTAGAACTTCTCGATGTGAGTATCTCGTTATACTGAGCAACGATTGCTTACTTCCAGCAATGTCTAACTAGAAAAATTCATCATTGTTGATAGCTTCTCTATATTTAGCTACTCGAAAACTCTACATTTATACCAATCAGTCTTCACATGTATGGGTTTCACTGTTAAATATACAGTAATATAATCATTTGTTGCTTAATTTTATCCTTAAGACTATTGATATAGAACTTTAGGGTTCGAAATTTAAAGAGAATATAAAAAATATTGATTTTTTTTGTAGTTGAACATTCATCATAATCTAAGCAACAAATGTTCTATCATTCAAGTATATAATGAGAAAATAATTATGTAGTGTGGATTCTGTTATAATAAAAAATCATGGGACATATAGGAAAATGGAGTAAACTAGCCATGAATATTTTAAAATTAGACAACAGTAACCGTGCTTGTTTTCACATCACGTCTTTTTGTGTTAATAGCTACAGTAGTAACATCAAACTATATTAATACATGTTGATTTAAATTAATTGTTGGAAAGAAGAAAAAGATCACCTTGTACAGGTGACAAGGAATTGCAACTGAACACTTATAGGTTACAAAAAAGAAACTGAAATCTTCCCTAAATTGAACACTTCTGATAAATCCCGATGGCGCTCACATGCGAGAAGTTTTACTATAAAAGAAAAATTGAAATTTACTTGAAAGTACAACTAAGCTGTGGTAATTCTTCTAAAACTCGATTATCGATAAGAAACCAATCAAATGAAAGTTCTTTTTCAGTAATTGATCTTACTGTAACCATATGATAGATATTATTAGTACCAAGAACGAGACATTTTGTTGCATAATTCTCATTAATACAATCAACAATACGACGAACAGTTGTTTGACCTTCATATGAATATAAAAATATATATGTATGTTAGGAAAAAATAAATACGAAAAGAATTCTACCACAATTCGAATCTTTCGCCCAATAGATACTTGCTGCACATACCTAAGTTAGCAATTAATAGATTTTGATTCAAAGACAATGAAATAACAAAAAAAAAACAACAGAAACGATTTACACATATTTTTTTCGAAACACCAGGTGGTTTATCACATACAAGACCAATTTCTCGATGGCATTGATGATCAATATCACATGAATCATTAATTTCACCTTTACGAACTATAAATAAACATACATATAAATATATATAGATATAGATCGGAAAAATGAATATGAAAAATATTGTTTTTTGTCTTACGACATTTATTTTGTTGAACTGACCAATAATGAGATCCTTCACATAGACAACTTTTATTTTCATTCCATCCATATTCACATAACAATCCATATTCAGTATAACAATCGTATAATTGAACACATGATTCTTTATATGTATGTTTTTTGCTTATGGTCGGTTCTGTTGATGAACTTGATATTGTCTATGATGCAATTGATATTAGAAAATTTTTTTTTTCTGAAAACAATTTTCTCTCACTGATATTGATGTTTGCATGGTACTTATTGATGTAGTCAATATCGTACTTGCTATTAACGAATCGATCAATGCCAAAAAATAAAGTAAAAATAACTTACTCTTACTACTCAGTGTAGAACTTGTGCTTGTTTTAGTTGTTGATGGACATGGATGTGGTGGACAAATAAAATTCGTTTGATTGATTTTATAATTCAAATACACAGGTGTTAAAAGATACCAAATTAATAGTGCTATTGTTGTAGCCAAAGAAAAAGCAACGAATATACCAACAGTTAAGATGAAGCGATATGATTTTTTATTCTACAGAAGATAATTTTTTTTAGAGAAATACATAAGTGAATTAGGTTTACGTTAATAAATATTTTGAATTGAGACATTATTGAAAATTTATATCATAGAGTTCACTTTTCGTCGTATACAATGTTAAAAAAAAACAAAGGTGTACATCACCATGTGAGATTAATGTGATACATTGGTAGACAACCATTAATGAATGTCACTGAGCCATTAATATCAGAATAAAATCGATATTACGTATTTAATGATAAACACTATGCTCTATCATTGAAATACTCTCATCTCCAATATCCATTAACAAAAAACAAAAAAAGAAGGGAAAAATCAATAAATTAAACAACGAATCATGATTAATCAATATTGATTTTACCTAATGATTATGACAAAAATGAGTTTTTATCTGCATTGTCATGTTTGATTACATTATTGAACATGTTGCTACATTGATTCACAAACACTTATAAATAGAACATTGTTCAATACTTATAACAATTAATACAATACATCATAAACAAATTATTATAAATAAAAATTGAAATATAATATTATATATTATCCAATGTCAATGATTTGTACTCAACTGTCAATGATTGATACTTCTTTTACATGTAAACAAGTAAGAAAGATCTCATCAATTTAATAGGTAGGTTCTAATGATAGTGATACATTCTTAAACTGAATGTAATCTGAAAATAATGAGTTTATTAAATGTATTCGCAGTTCATGTTGAAACAATATGCAGTTGTCATAATCAAAGTTACCTATAGTTTATTATCAAATAGACATATATCAAGAGAATAGATTGTTGTAGTGATGAACTTTTCCTAAATATAATAGACTAGAAAGCTGAGAGAAACTACATAAGTTTGTCTTTTAATGACATCTATGAAATAGATTCCTTTATTGGATATATTAATTTTCTGTATATCTTCTACCCGATTATATATATATATATATTTATTTATAAATATATATAAACAGATCATTTGATTGTTGAGTATTTAATTTAAGATGGTTTACATTTGATAGTAAATTAATAGAGGATAGATCAATGAGATAAAAAAAGAAACCTGGTGGATATCGAGGTATTATTCTTCTCTTTTTTCCTTCTTTCTCTAACCGGCTGATATCAATCGAAATATCATTCTCGTATTACTTTGTTCGTTTGGTTATAAGATCGATCCTTTTTTTGTGCTTCTTCTTTCTTTACATTTAGAACGTCTTTATCTAAACAGTAAAATCATGTCCGAGTAACTACAAATACACAATAGATTATAAAAATTACTAAACTGGCTCCATCATTATATCCTACATATTCATTATCATCATCCATTAATCCAAAATCAATGTTAAATCAAGAAGAAATTCATCGTTATTTTAATCATTTAACTGGAGCAAAACGTATTGAATTTTTATATGGCCTACTGCATTTATGTCAACCATTAGAATTACGATATTTAGGCACATGTTTAGAAGAAATAGCACGCAAAGATTATGAATATTTATATCATGCTGAACAAAAAACAAATCATTTATCAACACCCACTATTTCATCATCATCAACTTCATCTGTATCGAGTAACAATGAACAAGCTAATCAACAAACAGATCTTTTATCTGATGAAAAATTAGATTTAACTGATCAATTTACACGTGCACATGCTATTGTTGATATTGGTAAATGATTTAATTCAATGAAAAAAAAAAAAAAAAAACAACAATAATATTTGATATTAATTTTTCTTTTTTCTCATTTAGCTCTGCTCTGGGCAAAAAATCGTGCGTGTGCTATTCGATTATTTCGTCGTTTAAAAGCTAGTGAAAGTGTTAAACTAGTGGATATGCTACTTGAACGTGATGATTTGGATGAACGAGCAATGGATGAAATATTAATTATATTTTGTTTAGCTGTTAATCATCCAGCATTTAGTTTTGATATGCGTACACAAATGTCACAAATATTTAAAGAATTAGAAAAACGACAAAGAAAAATGAAATTATTACAAACCGTACATAATAATATAAATGATGATGATACACTTGATCAATCAACATGTTTAGGTTATCATATTTCATCATCATCAATGCATAATACAAGTACATTAAGTGTACATGCATCACGTACGAAAAAATTCGTTTTGAAATAAATTACAACTTGTATGGTTGTGTTTTTTAGCTCTGTTGACTCGACTATCTGTTGTGAATTTTGATACAGATTCAACATCGATAAGAGTATTAATTAGAGCTGATTGGTCAGATAATAATTCAACTCTTACTTGGAAAACTCCAAATGATATTCGTTCGTTTCATTTACAAGTATGCGTGTCAGACATTATTTAAAAACATGTATTCGCCAAGAATAGAGTCAGATGATTTTAAAAGAGACGTAGGATAATTGCTCGCAAAACTGCACAATAGAAAATTGTGGATAAAATAACTGATGAGGAAAGTCTCCCAATTAATTAATTGCTTATGAATCGGAGCTGTGTACTTCATATAGACCTAAATGAGTTTTGACTATTGTGAACAGACTTCAGATTCTTAGTTCATTACTTCGTAGATACTATAAATTTGCACAGTTTTGAAATGAGTGCTGTAGTTTGTTTCAGGAACACCATAATTTTCGAATTTTGATTTAAAACTTTCCATAGAGACAGACATTAACGAGATTAATAGTTTATTGTAAAAGCTTCAGGTCTTTGGATTTATTTCTATTCTAAAATAAAAATATTGAATCTTATGTTAAATATGAACGATGTAAAAGACAGGTTTCTGAGGTAGTTGTATTTGAAGATAGTAACAACAGCAAGATCTGACACATACATCTGAAATTATGGTCATTAAAGACTGTTTCTATGCAAAGGTTCGAGTCAAAATTAGAAAATCAGTTTTTCTAATGTTCCTGAGGGAAATCACAGCAATTATTTAAAAACTACTGTAAAAATGCAGTATCTTCGCAGCAATAAACTAGGGTTTGAACTTTTCTCATGATATACATAACTCGTCTGGATCTACATAGTGCGTGTAGTTTTGACTTAAAAGCAATTCATCAGTGGGTGGACTTCCTTCGTCGGAGGAAACAATCATAATCAATTTGACAAAGCAGAACAGATGTTGAATTATCATTTAATATATATCTGTTCATAAAAGTGGATTAAGTTTAATGCTTATAAAATAAAAATTAAGACACAAGTAAAATTATTATATATATCATGAAGAAACCTTTCTAAGTATTAAAGCGCTTTTCAATCAAGGCAATGTTTATTTGATAAGTATTAGTAATTAACAGAAAAATGTGAAATGGTTTGGTTTTTTGAGTTTTTGTTCTTGAGATATCGAAATTTTACTCAAGTTTTCAACAAAAAGCTGTTCCCCATTTCCTTATGGTCACGTAGAAAATTGACTTTCGAGTTTTGACTTCAAACTTTACACAAACAAATTCTTCAACGAGATTAGTTCATTGGGAAAGTTGTAACTTTTCCAGTATCTCCTATCCTAAGATATAGAAGATTCAAAATTCTATTATATGTACAAGCAAATTTTGTTCATATATTTACATCTCTCGAAACAAACAAAATAATATTAAACTTCAAAGTTGCAAAATTGACTAATCTCATGGACAATTTTGTTTGTACAAAGCTTGAAGTAAAAAGTAGGTTTTCCACGTGACCTGAGCGGATCGACAACTTTTCACTGAAAAACGCAGTAAAATCTTGATATTTCAAGAATTTAGGCCCGGAAAACCAAACTATTTTTGACTTTTCTGTTACTCATAAATATTGATTAAATAAATATCATCTCCATTTGAAAAGCGATAAGACACCTGCAGAGATTTCCTCCTTAATTGAAACTTTTTTTTAGTAACAAAGATTTACTCATAGACAATATAGAGATTCGCTTGACAATTGAAATGTTTTCTTAAAAACAATCCCATTATTTTAAAGCCTTTTATTGACTAGAACATCTTACATGTTATTACGTCAACTTTTTAATGTTAAAAATGAAATCTAAAATAGAACATCTATTGTGATAGTCACTTCTAGAAAATTCTCAAAATGATAAAGTCTATTTATGTGGAAAACTATTCTTTTGAAGATAATTAATGAGGATCTATGATCATAGACTGTTTTTAGTGATACCACGATCCACTTCTACTGATCATATGAAATTGTAACTTATGAAACAGTTGAAGCAATTTCCTCGTAATGATACAATGAACCTCGAAAAACGTTAGTTCTTTTCCTTGATCATTGTGACTTAGAATATTTTCTTCATGGAACAACGAAGAATACAATGACAACTAATTCAATAGATTATTTTTTCTCGCTTAGTTGTCGAATATTGTTTATCATGATGATGTACGATTGGAACGCTTAATGAATATTTCTGGTTATTTACGTGATATTGGTTCATCTACTGAACCTGATATTGAATTAATGAGAAAAAATATTGAAATATATATAGCGTGAGTTAAATTTTATTTTATCTAATTATTTAAATTGAATTATTTATCAATAGACATCTCGTCTATTTTTCATCATATATATCAACAATGTCAACATTAGCAAAATTTTTTAATTCATCTTTGAAACTTGTTGATTCGAAACAACGTTTGTTTAATCCAAATAATACTTTTGATGATTCCTTATCATCATCATCACCATCATATTCTAATGCAATGACACCACTTCGTAACTTATTCAATTATTTATTATATTTTATTTAACAGACTTTCTTTTTCTTATTTCTCAGAATGTGAAGTACCCATTCAACAACAAACTGATACAGATAATAAAACATTATGTTCACCTAAATTATCAATAAGCATTAATAAATCTAAACAACAATTGGATGTAGCTAAACAAGCTCGTTCAATAATTCCAACACATAATGGTACACAAACTAGATTAGAAGTACGTTGTGAAGAAACTCAAACTGATCGAATGCCTGGACCTGGTTTTATTCTTGCTGAACATCAAGATTATCTTCGAAGATATTCAATGGATGAGGTCAATTTTTATATATTTATTTATTTATTTATTTTTTTGTAAACTTCATTGAAAAATTTTAGTTAACAAAATTAACACCAAATGATCTTATTGTTGATGGACTTGATTCAACTACAGCTCATTTACTTTGTGGTGCTTTAGATGATTTGAAGTAAATCAATAAAAGGAGATGGAACTGTTAAGCGATGAAATCGACTTTCTTCTCTCAAAATTAAGTTTTATATTTTCTCAATAGTTAATTCGGATGTCAAAAGTCGATTACTGTCCGAATTAGTCCGTTAGCCCTCGCTCCGTCTACGCACGAATGATTGAAAACACGATATTCTCTATCACCTATACCACCGTGATATGCAGTGTTCATATAAAAAGTCTTATTGATCTGTTTTCAGCACTTTTTATTTGAGTTATATATCGAATGAACGGTAATTATTTCTACTATTCGTCCAGTCTTGATGTTGTAATTAGACTTTCTTTCAAAAGAAATCATATATTTAAAATCAGGATAAAGAAACTGAGGCAACCTATCTATTGGTCCTGGTAGTGCTCAGAGATATGCTAAACAATTAATTCAAGCGAAATGTCAGTTTTATTATGAAAAGACACTTACAGGGTTTTCAAAATCTAGTAAAATCCAAGATGACAGCTGGATAAACAACACAAACAAGGCCTCAGTAAAATTGATTTTTTTAAAAATATCCTTGAGATGAGCCGAGACTGAGCTTTTCGAGGAAAATGAAAGTTGATAGTTCATTTTATAATATACAAAGATCGACTCAGTTTTTTACACTGATTTCAAATATATTATTTGTTTTGATTGAAATCCTAACTATTTATGTCAAAAATGGTCGAATACTAGAAAGAAAGACCCTTCATGTGATATATAACTCAAATAAACAGTAATGAAAATGAAACAAAAAAAGCTTTTTATATGAACAATGTACACCACGATCGGATAGGTGATAGAAAATATCAAGTTTTAAATCATTTATATATAGAACTTAACTTTAAGAAAGGATCGATTCCATCACTTATCAACTCCCTCGTTTATTTCTTTTTTTTTTTCCTTATATTTAGACCAATGAGTGTTCACTTAAGTAACAGTAATAAAACAGTTCGTTCACCATGTACTTTTATTCAAATTCCTCCATCATCTTCGTCACCACCATTACCACCTCTACTTGATGCTGCTTTAATGACTGTTGTACAAAAACAACAACAAACATCTCGTACGCCATCATCTAGTTCTGATCGAAATCAAGTTGAACATATTTTAATTAATTTTGGCGGTATTCGACCATCTTCCTCATCAAGTCCAAGTCCAAAATTACCTAAAACAGGAGCAGGAACAAGTGGAGCTAATGATGGCGTACCTCCACCACGGCCACCACCACCTCCTCTTCCTTCCTTACAACCGTCATCATCCTCCTCATCATCAAATTGTACATCCCAAAATCAACATCATGTACCATTATTAACTACACATTCATTTCTTTATAATCCAATTGAACCTTGTATATTTCCAATAGCTATCCCACCCGGTTTTCCATCAGCATCACCTGATTTCATAAGATTATTTGCTCCAAATATGGCAGCCGTAGCAGCAGCTGCTGCAGCTAATACAAATAATGCATCAGGTGCTAGTTTTGTTACAAATTCAAATGGTCCACAAGGACTTGTACCTAATTCTCGGTCAACAACACAATCAAATAGTACGAATACACCACCCGATCAACATGGACAAAATCTGCATCATCCACTTTCATCAACATCATCAACTGTTGCTCGTCATCAACAATCCAATTATCGTCATAGACAACATTATCCAACAGATTCTCATCAATTTCAACAAAATTCATGTCATCCCTATCATCATCAACAACGACAATCACAAACATCCTATTCACAACAACAACAACAGCATAGTCGACCAAAAGCATGTTATACTTGTGGTGATATTGGTCATCTAGCGTTTGCCTGTCCTGAACAGTATTTATCCGATTCAAATTACTCCCATACTACTAGAGGTAAAATAAAATGTTTTCTTTTTGTTATCAAAAATAAATCGATAAATATTTTAGATGGTTATAAACTTGATTATCGACCAAGACAAAGTACACCAACAAATCTTCATCAACAACAAAGACAAATGCGTTCGAATTCAATTACAAAAACTAAACTTCGAGACAACAGTTAAACGTTTATTATTTTTTGTTATTCTTTATTTATCATTTTCTCTCGTTTATACTCATCAAAACAATACTACATATTACGACATTCTTTATCACCTGTTTTCTTTTCTACTATCTCCATTTGCCATACTGATTTCCTATGATAGACTTTTTTCATTTTGGTTCTTTGTCTTTCGTTTTCGTTTATGTTGTAACGACGGCGTGTGTTTTTTTTTACGATATGTCGACAACATGTTCCATCTTTAATATCTATATGCGTATATATATATATTTGCAATAACCTAGTTTTCATTTAAAAAAACTTTAAAGATCATAAAAATATCAATGTACAAGATGACTCAATAGTCACTTTATCGAGACCAAATTGAATATCACAGTAATATTTTAAGGAAATGGAGTTTTTTTATTATCACTGGTGTGTTCCCACGTTGTATTCATAAGAAACATGTTTACAAAAAAACTGTTGTTAAGTGTCGCTGCTGACTTTTGTGGAAAATAGTCATGTTTCACAAATTTCAAAAAAGAAGTTACTCTCATTGCCAAAATAAACGTCAAAATCATTAACCGTTTGGTATCATATTTATAACAAAGATACATGTTTGATTTCTGAGTGTACCCTGAAATTTCAGTTATAAACATCGAGAAATCTATTGAGAAAACCACAAATGTTTTGAATGTACTTTTACAATACTTGTCTCATTATCATTTCTTGTTCTATTTTAATTCTCAAATGATGTTTAGCTAGCCGTTGAGATGGTTTGATAATGATTATATCTCGAGCTCTTCAGAATTCAAATTAAAACAGGAATGTCAGTCAGTAGGATAATCATCATAAAAAAATTTCCGCTGAGCTACTTAAGAGCTTATATGGCAAATTGACAGTTTTTTCAACAGACTCTCACCGTTTAGGACTGAAAATTTGATGTAAATACAAGATCAAATGATAATAGTATAAAAAATTGATCACAAAAAATTAGCGGCATAGTTGATGTTGCCTACTGGGATACATTGTTTCTTCTTTCAAAACTCCTGAATTCTATTCACATAAATGGTGAAACTTCACAAAAGTTTTTGTCAGCGTTTTTCTTATTAATATGAACTATGAACACACCTTTATCAGTGGTGAAAAACTTATCTTCTTTAGTCAGAACATAGCGGTAATATTCAATCTTTTCTCTCTAAAGTTACTTTTGAACGACTTTGTATACAGGATGTACCACAAGTCCGAACAAAAAAACCAGGTGAATAACTTCTCAGTAATTCAAGGGATTTAAATATTTTTTTTGTAGTTTGATCATAAATTCATGAGACTTTTATTAAATATATTTGAGATAAAAATAATTTTAATCATGGCCCATTTGGAATAATACAGTATTGTAAAACAATAGCTAAAAATTGAATTTGAAAAAAAACACACCAATTAAATATTGCATTAGCAATACACTCTAGCGATTTTATGAAACCAGTAATGTCGAAAACGGATAAGCATAGCGTAATTACTGAAGAAGAAGTCAATGAAGTTAATGATGAAATTTGTAAAAATGAACCAGGATTAAATGTTCGATCTATGTCACTCTTCTTCGTAGGACTGTTGAATAAAGTGTATCTTTGTCTGACTTTAATAAGAGATGTTCCGTAATAATCCAATATGTTGTTGTTTGTGGCACCGAATACTTGATCCTAACTCATTTTTACAAGCATTCTTAGTTTTATTGCCTTTTTTGTGTACTCAAAAAGTGAGTACACTCTAGAATCGGTCAGTGTGTCCGTCCGGCCGGCCGGCCGGCCGTTAACACGATAACTTTTGAAAGGAGAGTCTAATCGCGATGAAATTTTCTACACAGTTCAGTCTTAACAATGTCTCGGTCGAGTATTATTATTGGTACTGCTAGGGTCTTAGGACCATCAGTTGAAGCAAATAAAAAAAAAAAAAAAAAAAAAAACAATGTCTCGGTCGAGTTCGAAGATGAGCAGGATCCGTCNCATAAGAATCTACCAAGTCAACTTTCTAAGATAGAATAATTGTGAAAACAACTTCTCTGGTGCAGTTTGTAACGCTCTTTCTAATAGTGCATTGAAAATTGATATTGGCTGAGAAATAGAGGAGAAAATCGCATTTTGTCAAAAACTTTCGATATACTTTAAAAGTCACTCTTATTCGATCTTTTCTGAAAAGAAGCTGCAATAAAAAGTAGTCTACTGTGTAGAGCACAATTTACTCTTCAGAATGGTGTGTCAAAAAGAAAAATTTTCTTTAAAATAGGCGCGCACTGAATTTTGAACAACAAGTGGTTGATCAATTTTGGAACAATGAAAAAAGGCATTTCGTAATTATGTTGCTAATAAATGCTGAATACATTAATAGATTGACTTCAAATTTTGTATACGTAGACTGCAGACCAAGAACTAGTATGTGACAAAAATCAGACAGTTCTAGCTTATTTAGCGTCTGAGGTATGAACAAAACAAAAAAGTTCATTATGGTGGTTGATCAATTTTGGTACCCACTGTATATCTGAGATGAAATTTTTCATATATAAACGACAGAACATATGTTATTGAATTAATATGTAGGAATACTTGCAAATCAAAAATAAAATTTTGAACTCGAAATGTTTTTAAGATTGAAACTAGATAATGCAAGTTGAGTAAGAGGGAGAAAAATGGAATACTAAAAGTATTTTTAGTACATAATCAAAGCAATAGAACACATCGTTTTATTATTTTCACTTCACGGAAATTAGAAATGAACATCGAGATGTCGTCTAATCATTTGTTCGTAGTTTGAAGTAAGACAGCTATTTTATCGGCTGGTTCACTGTCAATGAAACGATCCTATTCTCTTGGATAATAGTATGATCGATTAGCATTGTATCGCTCTTGTCACTGAAGAACAGTTCAGGGACAAAGTGCTTCACCATGATAGAACGGTGCTGATGTTTGTGCTAGAATTTAAGCAATAAAAAACGAACGAAGACATTACTGTGATCTTTCATTGCAGAATAACTTTAATTACTCGATGATTTAGTTTCCATATTCAGTTTTAGTAGTCAAACGGTATTGCTATCGAATGCGAATACAAAAGTGGCATACTGGAGAAACAAAAGAAGACAAAGCTCTTAATTTCAATTTGATAGTTAATTTCTTGAATAGAGTTCAGTTTGCTCTTCCAGCAATTGCCACGTGATTTGTAAGGCATCTTAAAATTTTCATGATATTTTCAATGTTATGTGGCATATTTCAGGTCATATTCAAAGATCTATATTTTGAATATCTGTATCACCTAACAATAAAAATTTAATGATGAAAACTTTGGTGGAAGAAAACCTGTTTTATTTTAAAATGCACACACTACAGCAAAAAAGAAAGTCTTTTCTTGAAACATCGTTTACAGACAAAACAAACTTGAGATAACCACTAAAGTAATAGCTAGTTTCTCAGTTGATGCACTTGACTGTATACAATTCACTGCAGTACAATCATCAAACTTCAATTCAAATTTGTTGTTTTCCTCAATACCTTTGATACCGATATACGCAAAGTCTACATTAGTATCTGGTTTATCAATAACTAATGTTACTTGACCATTCTTAGCTATGTTTGTTTTCATTGACGATAGATGAAAATAGGACTGGGATTGCCTCCATACTGATGAATTAGTATCTATTGTTCTTGTCTCATAATCAATGAAATCAGCTGGATCTTTTGGATTTCGATTTGTAAATGAATAAAATAATTTCACATTACCACTGAACAATGTAACAGTAATCAAAATCTGTTTACCAATTGCAACAATTTCCACCTTTAGAAATTTATATTTATCCTTACTAATTTCAATTGTGGCAGTTGTATTCGATGAAATAGATACTGGTTCTGAACATGATCTTGACGTGAATTGATTTAGTTTTTGTTCAAGAGCATTATAATCCGACATGGCAAAATAGTTTTCACTTGCTGGTGGTGAGCAAATGGCGTGTAATTCATTAAGTTTGGGTCCATTACCAACACCTACACTCACCAGAACAATATTTTTTTGTTTTAAAATATTAGCAGCTTGAATCGTTGCTTGTTCATTATTACTTGCTCCATCTGTGATTACAAATATCACAGATGCCACACCTTCATTTGATCGTCGACGACCACGCTCATATGAAAAAACAATATCTGCTTGTTGAAGAGCAAGAGCAGTATCTGTACTGCTGGAGTAATATATCGCCTGATCAACTTGTTGAAGTTTTTGTTGGAGAGTGTAGTCTGTATCCAGCCACGTCAGCGTCTGAGCGGAGTTAGAATAATTGATAATACCAATATGAGTTTTATTTGAATCAACATTAACTCGATGAAGTAAATCTTTTGTAAATTGTAGCTGTAGTCGATAATTATCCACGCCAACACTACCACTAGCATCAAGGACAATGCCTAAATCCATTTTTAATTCTTGTGCACATGTATCCAAACAACATCGAATATGTTTTGGACTATTCGGACATTGTTGACCTTTTGGATCACTACAGCCACAAAATGTACTAGAATCTTCTAAACCTTTGATGCAATCAGCTGAACATACACCGTTATGCGTAGCATTATACTGGCAAACTGGTCCTTGTCCAGAATATAGATCACCACCACACTGCAATTGACGAAGAAATATTGAATAATATTTAGCAGCAATGGAGAGTTGTTCAATATCTCCAGTTAATTTATACCTTTGAGTATGAAAATAAGAGTAACACTATTCAAATATTAAAAGTAGTCATAAGAATGACTTACCACAACATCGAAAAACCATAAAATGAACCATCAACGTAGCGTGTTAAAGCAGGTTCTATTGTAAGATAAAACAAAAATATGGATTACATTTAAGCTGTGGAGTATACTATAGATTAGGATTTAAAAATTTGATTTCTTTTTCGTTGTCATGAGTAAATTTATGAAACAGGATATGACATTTTTACTGGATTAAAGATGAAATCTTTCATGAGAAAAACAAATGAAGAGGAAAGAATGTCACTTATCTATCATTTGGACTTTTTCCTCATAGTTAAACCGAACACCTTTCGCATTTTTTTCCGTATTTTTCAAAAGGAAAGCAATTTTTTCTTTTTGTTCTCTCACTAGATTTTCGGAATAAAAAATTTTCAAGGGTTAAATAAAAATATCAGTGATCTAAAAAACGTTTACCATTGATCAAATCTGGATTAGTCCATATCTTAGATGCAATCATAATTGCATTTTCTGTAAGTGCTACTGACTCTGGATTGATTAGACTTTCATATAGTGGCATTAATGCTTGTAATCTCTGATACATTACTCTTCCACGAAGACCAAAGAGACCTCGTCGACGAAATCGAGATCCATCACCTTCTTGTGAGTTTCCATATTTGTTGTCATCGGCAGAGAATTGTGCATCATTCTTAGTAGCTTCATCGGTTTTAAAATTCTGTGTCATTGCTGCTGCAACCGCAAGGAAAGCAGCTTTTGCTTGACAGTTGTAGCATATGCCAGCTGAATTTATTCCATAATTGAGAACACTTCGAAGAAATCTAGCACGAGATGTATTATATAGAATGTCGAAGTCATTAGCAGTAATACATATTTCTGAAGCTGATGGTGATGTGACAGGAACACAACAAATTTGCTGTCCGCATAAATCAGATGCTAATATGGTTCCTTCACAGATGTCGATTGATGAACATTGTCCACTAATTGACTGATTGAATCTTGCTTGACATTGTTGTCCTTTAACTTTCGATAATAGTGATATTGTAAAAATAAAGAGCAACAAATGCATTTTGAGGTTCTAGAAATTTTATTTCAGCTGAATACAATAGTATCCGTCTTATATAGACAAAGAATGATCTGTTTATGATTTATTTGATAAATATATTTTGTTATCAAAAATTATGCATATTTTCGTCGAAAGCTGTGTGCCAGACAAAGAAATATTCTCCTGCCCACGTGAATCAATTCATGATAATCTATCTTAAAACACTTAAAAGTCAGATAAATAGTTGACAAACATATACATTTTCTTGATGCTGAAATTGATATACGAATGTCAACATGTGAAGGCATAATTAACTATATAGGCTAGAGTATTATTCATATCCATTTTATTTATCTGACCATGTCTTTCTAATACGGAGTAATATAAGACATCCTATTAAGAACAGTTTATCGCCAAGGATATTTGATATCATAATTCAATCTGTGATTTCTCTTTTGTGTGTACCTTCATAAATCCATTTCTCTTTGCCACAGTTTAATGATTATACATACGCGAAAAACCATACAATGAAAAATACTATGGTACATGAACAAGAAAGGAAGTAGATAAGAAGTGAAGTAGAAGTCCAGCAGGGTGTTGCTGGATGTGGGTGTGGCTGCGAACGACAATGTTTTTCCTTCATCCATATCAAAACCCTGATGAAATATCTTCTAGATGCTGCCATGAGTGAAACCCGGCTCTTCTTGGTTACATACTGACATTTCAGGAACATTTTCCATTTTTATAGATTTGAAGATATAAATTATACGATTGACTTTTTTCATTACCATGACATCCCTGAAGTATCCTCTATAATGTCGCAGCCATGTTATTGAACGCTTAATCCCCAACATTCTCAAAAGCGTTTGATCTTTTTCTATAAAAACGAAATTTGATGCACAGCATTCGAATAGAAATACAAGGTTTTAGTGTTGTATTCCTGTCCAATCTTGAGCCCTGATGAAACTATCAATTATAGGTCACTCAATTTTCATACTTTTCTAACAGGCGGCTTATGCGTGAATGAAGAGATAATCTATCTCATTTTCATCACATTAGATACTACACGCATTCTCGTCATCTCATTTATGAAAAAATTGTTTCATGACAATATGGAAGTTGCCGATTGCAGTGCATGAAACAATTCAAAAGTGAGTAACATAGCTACATATGAGTCTCATAGGTGAGTATTTTATATGACATTATTATGCAGACTAATCTGAATTTATCGCCAGTCAAATGTAAACAAAATTCGTGTCATATTAAAAGAGTTTTATTGTGCATTCTAGTTACATATGAGGTACGTCAGAGATATTTCTTTACGATAGGTAGATCAGATTTCTTTTCGATAGGTAGATTAGATTTCTTTTCAATAGGTAGATCAGATTTCTTTTCAATAGGTAGATCAGATTTCTTTTCAATAGGTAGATCAGATTTCTTTTCGATAGGTAGATTACATTTTTTTCGCGACTCTATCCATTTCTTTCTGTCCCTTCGATAGAACACTCCAAAAATCTCTTGCTGACAAACAGGAATACACGACTTAAGGACACCCTCCCTTTCCAAGCTTTCTTTAGAACCATTTGCCGAAAATTTTTAAACTGTCAGGATACATACATCTAGATGAGTAGGATAAAATGTGTCATAGACTCAAAATTTCCACATGCTTTCCTTCGGGAGACCTTGGAAGGTCAAGAGCTAGAAACAAATTGAAGTTATCCCCTCCTCTTCGCAAAAATCTATCCTGCGTTTTCAAGGGCTGAAATTTTTTCTGTGGTAACAAAGAACAAATCTGGATGCGTTTTTTTTCTTTGAAAAATATTGCTTTTGAGGCTCAGGAGAAACAGAACACTGAAGGCAATATCAAAAACCCACTAAAAGAGCTTTTTCGGATGGTACTAATTTTGTAAAATCTGCCGAACTTCATAGACACAATATTTTCAAGAAAAAGAAAAAACATGCACTGCAATTTGTTTGCAATATTCATAAAAAGTGTCCGCCCAATCGATTATACCATACAGGAGACAATGAGGGAAAAATTCTAAATTTTGTTGGAAAATCCGATTTTTAGAAAATCGCAAAGATAGTTGTACTTTTTGGCTTTATTCGCATAAAATTAAGTTTTTTGCATCCAAAAAGGTGATTTTGTCTTCTTAAAATATGTTCATTAGACAGGAACCATGTAAATCTACGAAACGAACATAAAAAATGAAAAACAAAGATCACTGAAAAGTTCGAGTCCGGAAAGGGATCCGCTTAAACTCAATATTATCGCTAGTTATATAGAGGACACATTATGTTTTCAAGACAAAACAAAATGAATCTTTTTTAAACTTTACAATACTCTCGAAAATAGTAGACCCGATCAAATATCAGATTCAATCATCTGCCATTCAGTTAGCTCGTCGTATTTTTCAGATTATCGCACTAAAACTGATCGTTTTTTCGACACCCATTGATTTTCACACGCTTGAAAGATCTTCGAAAACATTTATGATTGGACATTACGAAATTCTAATGGCGACAAAAACTAAAGAAATCGCCATAGAAACAATTTATTAACAATAAGGAAGTGCGATTATTACTAGAGTCTGTTGCATTCCAACACATAAGCAATTGCTTTCATGATATAAGATATTTATACTTCTTTATTTTCGAAACATTTTACTTAATTCAAGCATGGATAATGCATAAAAGTAAAGCTTTCTTTCTTAATTACTATTATAATATTGACTATTGGAGGCACCTGGACATAAACCAGCGACTGATTTTTGCGATGCACGAAGTGATTGCTATACATTCGTCTGCCATACCTTCAGCTGTACACCATATCCGTAAATAATCAGATAATAAGATTAAACTAACGTAGAAATCCTCTCCAAATCAACACTCATAATTACTGTGTGTTGCACTTGCACAATGCAATCAACTCTTTGCTCTAGCTCAGTGGTTCTAGCGACCCGCTTGTCCATTAGTTTCATCATTAGTCTTTATAGTGATTTGTTGGAAAGTACTTAATGCTTATGCATCCTCTAAAGCATTCAAATTGTGTACGGTCCAAAACCAAAGACTTATTGAGAAACCGACTTCGGGTATTGCGATTAGCTGCGAATTTGCTTCCAAATCGAGTTCCAAAACTGTTTCTAATATTCTATAGTTGAACGTGTTGATGTAGTGTTTGAGTATATCAATGGCTGACTTTTGGTGCGATTACGCGTCTGGTTGCCGAGATAGGTGTGCGGTACGAATTTGTGGGTATGGGACATGTATTTGTCGGTGTGGTGCTTAGGTATGATGCTGCATAATAGTGGAGTCCACTGTGGTAGTGGCTGTATTTGCGTGTGGGTGTGATTGTTAGTGTGAGAGTGCTATGCATGACGTTATATGTCAGTATGCTGTTGTACGATGTAGATGTGGGACTGCATTGCCTTGTGTGAAGATGTTTAGATTCTGGGATGGTTGTGAATCCGTTAGTATGACTGTTATTGGCTTAATAATTGAAGAGAAGCATAATGTGGCATGGATATCAACACGTACATTCCAACAAAACTAACTTGTTCAAAGGTCAAGCGAGTCGTAAGGATGAGCGTTAGTTGTTTTAATATCGTTAGTTTTCAAAGAGTCAGTTTCACGAAAAAAAAATGAAATTTTCTTGTAAACGAGTCAGTCATTTAAATAATTAAATAGTTATATATTATTTTTATAAGTATCTCTTCTGAGAAGCTGCAACAGGAATAAGTAACCAGAATTAATTGTGCTCTAGCATTTTCAAACACAGTTTGACAGATTTCTCTGGAAAATACACAATCTATCACATGGTGTGAGAAGAGAAGTTGTTTATTATCGAATGAGTCATCCTAAATATGCAAAGATAAGGGAAAACAATATGAAGCAAACTGTGAGAGAAGAAAACCAGAAAAATCTTATCTTTACCGTGTTCTTGAGAGAAATAATATAAGCGCTGTTTAATATAATAAATATACTTCTGACTCGAATGCAGCAATACATACAGATACTACAAAATGAGTATGATTGAAGATATTGAATTGAGCGCTGAGCGCTTTGCTGAAGCGAAAGTGATCGAGCAAATCGAAGACACTTACGAAAACGCTCCAACAACCGAAGAATTAACAACATTGAAACACATTTCTGATCATATACCGCTACCGGCTCGACTGATTATCGTTTGCGAATTTTGTGAACGTTTCGCCTTCATAGGGCTCTCTGGTCTCTTTCAGAATTATATTCAATTTCCGGTACCTGGCCCGAATGATAAACAATCGGGTGCACTAGGTCGTGGACAACGCACTGCCACCTTATTAACAACGTTCTTTCGGTTCTTGTGTTATCTAACACCGATTATTGGTGCCATTCTAGCTGATCAGTTCTGGGGTAAATACAAGACAATATTCTTGGCATGTGTGACCTACATGATTGGTCTTCTCGTCCTGGTCTTGAGCAGTACACCATTCGCCATTCGTGTAGGCCTTGCTTTTTCTGGTTTGATCGTAGCGATGATAATCTTGAGTCTTGGTACTGGCGGTGTAAAGAGTAATGTTAGTCCGCTGATGGCTGAACAATATACCAGAACAAAACCAATTGTCAAAGGTAGCAATAAGATCCTTTTGTAGAAGAAAGTTTAATTTTGTTGCTACTTTGTAGAAATTAGAGGTGAAAAGAAAATTATCGATCCAAAAGTGTGAGTCCATTAAATATCTATTTCTATATTCTCCAGATTGTATTATCGATATTATAGAACTGTACAGTCGATGTTCAATTGGTTCTATTGGGCCATAAATTTGGGCGCACTATCAGCGATCGTTACCACTAACATCGAAAAATATCATTCATTTTGGCTTGCCTATCTCCTACCCATGGTGGTATTCGCCGGTTCCATTGCTGTTCTAATTGTTGGTCGTCATCAATACATTCGAAAAGTTCCAAGCGGTTCATTGATCATTCGTGCATGTCGTGTGATTACAAGAGCCACTCAAATGCGATGGAGGCTCGGCAAACAAGATAATCGTCGAGATTTTTTAGATTATGCGAAAGAAGATCTGTCACCAATTGTTCATGATGACAATCAGACAGTGATGAAATCAGACAACAACCAATTTGTTGAAGATCTCAAGCGAGCATTGAGTGCTTGTCGTGTTTTTGCTTTCTATCCATTTTATTGGATTTGTTACAATCAATTGGTGAGCAATATGATATCGCAAGCCGCTCAAATGAACGTTGGTAAGTTTGTGATTTCTGTTGAAATATTCAAGACATGCTAGCAGGTATTTGATTTGCGATTCATAAATTTTTCTCTAGGTCCTCTACCCAATGATATCTTACAAAATATTGATCCGATTGTTCTGCTTATTTTCATTCCGATCTTTGACCTACTGATCTATCCTACTTTGCGACGATCTAACATTAAGTTTACATCGGTCTCCCGTATCACATGTGGTTTCTTTTGTGTTTCCATCGCCATGGCTTGGACAGCATTAGTTCAACATTTAATTTATTCGACTGGTCCAAACTATGACTACAAGATCAAGCCGTGTTTGAAGTGTCAACAATTTAACAATATCACTGCTGCTTGGCAAATTCCATCGTATTTTTTCATTGCTATCTCGGAAATTTTTGCATCCATCACGGGTCTCGAGTACGCCTTCACACATGCACCATCATCAATGAAGTCTGTCGTTATGTCACTTTTTCTCTTCACGTCGGCGATTGGTAGTGCCTTGAGTTTTGGACTTCTGCCAGTAACCATCGATCCAAAATTGATGTGGATGTATGCATCCCTATCGATTATGGCATTCATCGTGGGTGCTATATTTCTTCTCTGCTTTCGAAATGAAAAAGAGAAACACGAAAAGAAACAAGCCGATAAATAAATTAGGTTGATCCTTGTATTTCTTTGTACTCCGCGTTATTGTCCTGACGTGCATCAATAAATATTTTGATCTAAGCAAGCACATTGCCTCATTCTTTTCTTGTTTAGTTGTTGCAAGATCGCTGATCGCAGAATCAAATTCCAATTTATGAGCGTTTTGTAATCAAGTTGTAAGATATTCATGCACACCCCTAGAAATCCATGAGCAAATGCCATTACTGAGAACTATCTATCAAAGATTGAGAAGAAAGCATACATGTGCCAAGAATTTGCGAACAAAACTTCAGAATGAGAAGATCATTGAATCGAGTTAATCAATCACAATGATTCGTAGAAATATTTCTGATTGATGACTTGTATAATGTCTTCCATTGCAAAAACAAAACGTAGAACAATATTATATTATCCTATTTACTATTTATCATAGACTCTAAAACAATCTATGCCGATATCCTAAATCCTTGAAGAATTTGTCGAAGCAAGGAATAAAGACTACTAGAAAAGGATTTATTATTTTGAAACTTACAGAAAAGAATTTATTCTATGCTCAAGGGTTTATTATTTTACGATTTATGGTAAAGGGTTAATGACTTTTTTTTTGTATACAAGTAAATCATTCTAAGAATACAGAGAATTATTTGTCTATTTTACGCATAACAAAGCATTTTTCAGAAACTTTTTACTCAACACTGTTTTAAAACGAGTATGTTGCATCTATCTTATGCTACTCTTAATGGTTCACTCGAATCAGCCCATCAGAAGTAGTTACGAATTTTTTATAGATTTTTTTTCCAATAGCATATCCGTAGATTTTCATCATAAGCATTCAATCGATACAATAACTACAAGTTCTTCAACTATTCTTTCTATAAATATGCTCACAAAGTCAATGAACTTTTGCACTCGGTGAAACATAAACAATTGTTTAATATAGTAATTCTAGAATAATTGTAACATATATGAACAGAAATTGAAAGCAGCACGAATGTTATGTGAAATTGAAATTGGACTTTTTAAAGCACCCAATTCATTTAGGAACATGCTCCACTTAGATATATCGACGAGCTTTATTAAATAGCAAAAATTATTTTCTGATAGCTCAGTTCAGAGATGTTGGCGGGTTGACCCGTTTTCATACAACCCATTCGCAAATATTATATTTCATTATTTTCATCTTTCACTTTTTTCTTCTACTTAGATTAATTTTCACTATTCCTCCGATTTCTTCGCTCTTCCTCTGATCAAGTTGTTCGTACTATTTCTATCGTTTACCAACATTTAGATTCATTTTTTGTACGTTTTTCATTACATAGTAGTTCTAGTCATTCATCTATTCATTTTAAACCAGGTACACGTGCGGATGAGTAGAAAGTTCTGTGTTGATTTGGATTTGATCTAGTACTATGATTGAACGTTGTTGAGATTTACCCTTTTTTAGAAAGACCAAAGTGTCTAGTGTGAAAATTCATGAAAGAATTCGATTGAAATGTGTTTTTCAAAGACTAGAAATATTTGAAAACCAAAAGTTTCAGAAAACTTCTACAATGGTTTTGAATGTACAAAAGATTTTATCGTATTACGTAGATCAATAATATATTTATTTGTTGGATGTGACTTGTACAAGTTAGATATATAGCATTGTCTCTGTACAAAAAGAAACTTTTTTGTTTTCCAAAGATCGAAATAAATGCTTTTATGATATCTTTTGGTATCAATGTATTCACTATTGGCAATTTACAGCTGAAAAAACGAAGTTTATTCCGAAAAATAGATTGGCAAAATCTATAAATTTTATATGAGGAAAGAAGTTTATTGAGTTCTGTAACGAACGATATTTTTTGAAACAAAATAGAAATTTTCTACGTCAGATATTCAGCGATACATTTTTTTAATTTCGTAAAATCCAAAAAGAAAAAATGGAATTTTTTATCTCATCGTCTACTATCTATTCTCACATGTGCTAGATCAATCATATTAACCCCAAACAAAAGCCTTTATTGTAATGCACAGAGGTATATACATGGTGTTTGAAAAGTTCAAAAGTCGATAATGGAAAAAGCTTAAAAAAACGTACTTTGATAAAAAAGCTAAGACCAAAGTTGCATAAGAGTTTTCTAAAATGTTTTGTTTCAAAATACTTTTAATCTTTGAAAAAAAATTTAATCAAATTCTGACATGATTTTTTGCACTAGGTAGTTTACACTGTACCTAGTAAAGCAAAAAAACAGTGAAGCATTCGATATTCTATTACAGCAATATATCAAATTCAAAACTACTACAGATCTTTTGCTTTATTGCATATGCACACAGATTTCTTTTTAGCTTCGATTATAGGATACTGGTGAAAACAAGAATGACACCGAAAACACTTTAAACAGTATCTCTTATATTTATATTTTACACATGATCATGTACTACAAGTTTTACTTTACTATTTCTTGTCTTGAAATTTAGTTGAAATTTTGTAGTACTTATACATATGATGAAAAATAAAAGATAATATTCTAATTAAATAAATGTGAAAACCTCGGATTTAAATAGGAGTGTTAAGTGTACTTCAAAAAGTGAACAGGTATATTCACTTTGTTTTTTTATCATCTGAGAGATATCTAGGCAATTTGCTTTCTGGATGCAGGTTTTGTGCATTTTGAGACCTTTTTCAGGCGATGTTTTGTTAGAAAGCTACGATTTGGTTCAAAACTAATATCAGATTCGGAATCAGCGTTAAAAACTGAGTCGATTTATATATGTTGTGAATAATTCTGAGAAAAACATTTTTTTTGAAAAAATCCCTGTACCCCTCCTCAGGGATGGTTTGGTCAAAAATGACAATTCNAACTTTTACAACGTGCGTCCTATCCCAGGCCCAACATATCCTCCAAATATCAGCCTGTTTGGATGTTCCTGGGCTGAGATCAATTTTTGAGGGGGGGGGGCCCCCTTAAAGCAAAGATAGGTACCCATTATCATAATTATCTTGGTTTTTTATCAATCGGTGCGATCTTGTACTTCTGAATTGAATTCTTAGTTTAGTACCTGCACATCAATTTTCAGATCTTCAGTATGCATGGTAGTCGAGATCCGGATGTGAGAGACTATTGTAAACAAAACTTCAAAACACTTCAGCGTAAGCTCAGTGACTTATCACACTACCATTAATACTTACAAACGACACATTGCCAGCACAACTTAATAATATGAAATCTTGAAGTCGCTCTTTGTGAAAAACAGGTGTAATTATATGAATAAAAAATGATTCACAGAAACGTAACATTTCATATACAAATTGATATCTTTTGCTTTAGTGTGTCTGAAACTGAAAATTGCAAGTCTTTCTGAAATCATTAATTAATTTGAAAGTGATCTTCTAATATTCTTTTCTATAATGACAAGAATTTTATTTACATAGAAGCATCAAAACAACGACTCATTTTTTCTTTCATGTATTAGAAAACATATATATATATAAACGAAATCAAATTATTTTAAAAAAAGAAGCATATAAATCTGTTACTTTTTTAGAAATTAGAACGACAACAACAGTCACCAACATATCAACATAAACCACCAAGAACAGGGACTAATAAACCAATAAATTCATCAACGGCTGGACAACAATTGAATGATGCATTTAATCGATACGATATTATTGAAACATCATTACATTTTAATGTTAAACGATTAGATTTACATATGATGGCCGATGCAGATATTCTCGGTATACAGAGACATATGAATGCTATTTTTGGTTAATATTTCAATAAAAATATTATTCTATTTTAGTTGACCGTCTAGTTGAAAATGGTTCACTTCAAATGACTATAGCAAATTTATCCATCGATCTTTATCCATATCATGAATATGGATCATCAAAAAACCATTGGATAAAATATAGTGAAAGTCAATCAATAAATCGTAATGAATGGATAACTAGATTACATGAAGAATGGCATGCACAATTCAATACTGCTAAAGCCTCCGCACCAAGTGATGAAACATGTAAGTTTAAACTTTCACGTATGAACACCAATAAACTATTATGAATTTTTTTCAGCTATGAAATTTGAAAAAGCTCTTCGTACAAAGCAAATTTATTTGTTTGAATCATGTCGTGTCATAAATATTGATGATCTCGTTTTTTATCCTGTTTCATTAAATAATGATAAACAACAAAAACGTCGTCGACCATTAATTTCATCTGATAAAACGTATTATCATTTACCAGATAATTTAGGTATTATTAATATTCAACAAACAGAATATTATTATCCATTTTCTTATGCATTTCCTGGTAAAATCAAACAAATGATAATTCCAGGAAAGTATAAATAATCATTTTGTTTTGTAGTACCCAATAGTGATTTGTATATTCAAATAATGCCTCTTGTTATTCGTGTTGATTTTTCTACATTAAGTTGGCTTGATGCTTTCGTATCGACATTATCAATAACGATAGTAAATTAATTAATAGAAGAAAAATTATTTTTTACTTTTAATAGGATAATTCTGGTGTACTAAAAACTGATAGGCCACCTGTTGATCTTGAACATGTTGCAATTAAATTAGAAGCCATGTTACCAAGAGTATGTCAAATTTTGATTTATTTTTTTCTTTTCAAAGATTTAGTTTTAGATTGTTATAAGTTCGGATCTATTTTCTAATAATCGTAAATTACAAGAAACAAAACAAGACGCGAATTCGGAATCTAATACATCATTACAACAGAATGAAATATTAAATCAACAACAATTTGATATACTTGAACTCAATATTTCAAAAATTTTATTTACAAATACACGAACAGAATTAACAAGTAATCGATATAAACTTGAGAAACATTTAGAATTATTTAAAGAAACAAATTTTTTTCAACAAACTCAATGGCCTTTTTCAAATGAGACAACAACACGATTTAGTTCATTATTTGAAAAACATCCATATGATACATATTTATATGATAATCCATTGAGTAAAAAGACTAATACTTTACCAGATGCACCGTCGGCTAGTACAGCACTTCATACTTATTATACAATGACGACTGATTCATTGAAAAAAGTGAGAGATGTTTGCTTGATTACTAAAAATTGAGCGCAAAAATGTAGAGTTTTGTTGTGAGGATACACTCTCTCCCTTCTGTGGAAGTGAAAATCAATATATTTTTGAGTTTTTGTTTTTCATTGATATATAGTTTTTGAAATGTTCTCTATCGATCTGCAAAAAACAAAAATTCTCTATTGGCAGTGTTTTTATCTCATTTTTAGCGTATGATCATGTTAGAGTCACATGTCGAGGTAAATGATTGAGTTTATTCGATATATGATCGATATGACTAATTCGAAAATGTTGCTACGAGTTCTCCATTTCTTCGTGAGTCACTCAATATTTGACAACAGCTTTTCCCATCGTCTTTCATCTGTTCTTTTCTCTCTGTCTGAAATGGAATTGATAATAGGAGATGAATTTGAAAAGATATACTGTTTTTCTCTAATTATGGACCTCTTATAAGGATAAATAAAGTACTCACGAAATGTTGAAAATCTATAAAGCCTTAAATAGAAAGAAAAAGCTGTCCCTTATCAAAGACAGATTGCTTTATTCTATGTATTCTGGAACAGTTTTCTTCACCATGCTTTTATTTAATCCTTCAGAAAGACAATAAGGGAGTAGATCATATAGTAGAACGAGTCGTTACGATCTTTGATCATAAATCAATAACGTCTGTTACAGTTTGTGAGGGAGGAGGAGTTAAATTTTCATCTCTCTACTTCAAAACTTCGTTTAGATTTATGTTTCACAAAAAGATGAGTATTCAGAAAAAAAAATCGAAATTCAATTTCTTTTTACATTTTTCTCAAAATCAAACTTTATACAAAAAAGTGAATTAAGCTGCAACTATTTGTCACACACACTAGTCACCATTTGGCGTCGGTATTCTGTTTTATTTTGAAAAATATTGTTCTAAAGACTATTGTCAACTTTCACAAAATTTGACCTACTAAGAAAAAGCCAGTGTTTTCTTAAGATGTGTCCAGTATCTGTAAAAATTTTCTTCTCCAGAAAGTCCGGAAGAACTAATACTGTTAAAAAGAGTTTATTTTAGGATGTGAATGAAAATTTATTTTCCAAAGAATAAAATTTATTTTTGAGAAAAATCTGATTTAACTCACCACTTTGTCTCTATGTATATAGTCTGCTAAATATGATATTTGGAATTTAAATGTTGAAAATATTTATCTGGATTTTACGCCATCATCATCATCATCGGATTCAATTCGATTAACAAAACAAAATATGATTGATACTTTATCAATGACAAGTTGGATTGTACTTGATAAAGTAGAAACAAGTAATACATTATGGATATCTTCCAATTCTAAGAAAACTTTTTTCTTGTCTATTACTAAGATTCTTGGTTAAATATTCTTTGTATTCTTGAAAATCCATCTCTATTAAAAATTTCTCAAAAACAATACACATTTATTATGCATCTAGTAGATGAATTAGGTCTCTTTTTTGATGCACTCGAACGAAATAAAAATCAAACTCATCTAATTAAAGAAAAACTTTTATTAAATAATTCTTCTGATGATATAAAAATAACAATTTGTTTAACTATGCCAACAACATTTACACTTGGTGTCATGGATGATCTTGAAGATCCAATTATTAATCATTCTACACCTACTCCATCAAGTTTATCTGAAATTGATATTGAACCTATCATACATGATACATCCGAAACAAATGTTGTTATTGATTTAGTAACAACACCAGCACCGAGTCTTGCTAGTACAACGACAATAGAAAAAATGATTCCAAATAAAAGTCTTGATTCACCTCGAAAAAAGAAATCTAAATTTGAATTCAATATTCAGCGTGGATTAGAGATTGCTTCAAAAGGTTCACGAGCTTCATCCATATCATCATTGATGAACATGAGTGATAATAGTGATGAAACGTCGTCCCAATGGGATCTCAATGAAGAATTAGATGCTGATCTCGAAGCAAGTGTATTTAATAATGATTCTGAAGAACAACAACAAAAAGTAACACGTATTGAATTAGATGATGATAGTATTAGTGTAACAGGAAAAAATTATATTGGAATGAGAGCATTAGAATCGGTATGTTTTATATGAAAATGAAAAGAAAAAATTTGTTTTTGTTGTTTTTTTATGTAGGCTAATGGTGTATTTATTAAATTAAATCAAATAAATGTTTGTATAACAGAAGATAATGGAAAGACTGATAAGCAAATGTATATTGCATGTAATGTAAAATATTTACGTATTGATGAATTTTCTTCAGTAAAATTGGATACAATGAAACCAAAAATATTTGAAAATGAAAATCCAGGTATGATTGATTTATTTTCTCAAATTCAATTTTTTTATACTTATTTATAGATGAATATAATACGGAAAATGTGCCACCAATAAATGTTCGTATTGATTTTCCTAAAAGTGAATTATCACCACCACCAATAATTACTTTACATATTCAAGATCGTTCATTAAAAGTTGCTAGCCATGCTATCGATGTAATTTCACAAAATTTTGAAGAAATGCTTACAAGTGAAGAAAAAATCCTTAGAGAAAATCAACCAATTAAAACTGCTCCAATTGATATTCATTTAAATAATGTACAATTTACACTTGAAGTATGAAAATTGCTTTTTTTTTTTTGTCTTTCTTATGATGAAAAATCTACAGCTGATAAACTGCCTTTGAGTCGAGACTATGTGCATTATGTAAACTCAAATGAGCTATGAATCCCTGAAAAGATATTGCGCTCATATAAACTAACAAATCTGATGTTCTTATTTCAGGACAGAAGAAAATCGAGAGACCTGAAACTACCCTCATTAAGATCTGTCTTTATGCAAAATTTTAACAAGAAATTCGAAAATTAGGTTTCCTGTTATCACAGTACTCATTTAAAAAATACCATAATAGTGCAGCATCTCCACAGCAATAAATTAAAGGCACGAAGTCTTTTCGGAGTATTCATACCTCATTTGAATCTATATAACGCACATACTCTCATCTCAAAAGCAATTTATCAGCTGTAGAACTTTCCTTGTTCGTCATTAACTTTTCTTTTTCTTTAAGCCCCTTCCTGAATTTTCAACAACACAAACTCCGATTGCAATGAAACCACCAATCAAAATGATTATCGAATGTATGCATATTCTTCGTCAAATTGATGGAAAAATCATTGTTCGAAAGATGAATAATAATGGTAAGAAACAAGTTATCTTGTTGAAGATTATTCTTTAAATAGAATATCGACATATTGAAAATTTGATACGTTTGCGTGTTTTGTAGTGAAATTTCGATCTGAAATAGTTTTATTTATTATTAGAATCCTCCAAAAAAAAAAAGCTTTTCATCAGTCTCGTGAGCATGAACTTTGATAAGCGTAGAGATGCCACAGTGGCGTAAATATTCGGAATGTCTCTCAATCGTCATTTGTCTTATCTTGTTTGCAAAGTCGATTTTTGTATGAGAAATAGTTCAAATTTTGAAAGCGTACATTCTTATGTATCGTTTCAAAATTATTAACTATGAGTTTCTAAAAGAATATTTAGACTTACGAAGTACGAAACTACTTTTTAGATTTCTTAATCAAGTTCTGTAAAATTTTGAAATGCAGTCATAAAAACTTGATCGTACTATTCGAAAAGTGATTTACTTTTACAGAAAAATCGATTACACGATTTTCAAGCGATTTCTTGATAAATTTTAGTATAAAAGTTTATTTTCTCCGAGAATTCATCAATACATTTGAAATTCTTAATTTAGATGATAAAAAGCAAATTATTCCATCATTACCACAGTCAACTTCTACTGACAATATAAATGAAAAATTACAACGATTAGAAATATTTCGTCTTGAAAATGAACGACTTCGTTCTGAACTAAATACTTGTAAAACAGAAATAAGCGTTTTACGTAGTGAACGCGATAGTTTAATGAATACAATTGCGAAACTTGATATTGAATTAACTGAAGCTGAATGCCAACGTCTTGCTCAACAACAATCCAGGAAAAAATGATAATGTTATATATAATTTTCTTTCATCTTTGTGATAATTTATTAATGATTTATTCCCTATTCATTATTTACCTTTTTGATAATGATGTCTTAAATAATCTATTTTATTTCTGCAGAATTATTTTTTTGCTCGTGAAAATATACTCATAGTCCAAGGTTAAATATAAAATTGATTTAAACTGTTGATCTTGTTTTTTTTTCTAATTCTCCTATGATGAACGATGAACAAGAAGAAAAACACATACTTTCTTTACCATCTATACCAGCGGATATAGGCAATGTAAAATAAAAAAAATCTAAATGAAAAAAAGCTTATCATCATCTAATCAGGACTAAGACGGGTATCCGATTTACGATATAAATTTTTTTAATGTAAATTTTTTCATCCTTTTCTTAATTTTGGTGTCGTAATACGATTAAAATGAATTCTTTTAAAAAAGAATCGATAGTAGTAGTGGTCATTCTTTTATAGCATTTGAAAATCAAGATATTGCATTTATTGTTGCAGAAACTGTAAAATGGTTATTTAATGTTTCTTTTATTAATTGAATCTCCTTTAATTTAAGGAAATAGAATTGATGCAGAAAAATTATTTAAAAATTCGAAATGGTTATTTACTTTAAAAACATCAACAGAAAAACGTGTACTTTATAATTGAATTGAGTTAAATGAGTAAGTCGAAAACAACTATTATAGAATAGACTTTATTTCTTCTCGAAAGAAGTTATTACTGTACGACCAGATTTGATGACCAAAATAGCTTGTAAATTTAAATTGTAGACAGTCATCTCATGAGACACGAATATTATATATATTCTCAAGTTAAATTCTTATCAGCATAGATTTTAATTGAAAGACTAATTATGACCCAATTTTAAACTAATTAGAATGGAAGAATCTATCTTAATTATCAATCAGAGACGAGTTGGAAGTAGACCCAGAAATCTATATCGCCTGCAAAGTTAATAGTAAAAGCGAAAAAAACTAAAATATCTCTCGATTGTTATTTGTTTGTTTTGAAAAATAACAACAAAACGAAATTTCGAAAATTTTGATATACTTTGACATCCGTGAATTAAATTTTAGCTGCTTTTTGTTCTGATGAGAAATGTTTAGTATCAATTGGATACTAAAAATAATATAGTGAGGGCTCAAAAAAGCATGTACATTTTTGTTTTTACGCATACTAAATTCGTTGCTTTCCAAATAGTAATTATAGAGTTTTGTTCAGTTTTTTATGTTCTTTCATATGAAAGAGTTGAAATTTAAAAATAAAATCAAAATTTTATTAATTAATTGCTAATGATTATTAATTAATTAATTAACTGTAATATAAGTATAAGTGCTTGTTACCAAAATGTAGCCCATTAAATTCTGCGTCTTAGCCAAATACTAAAAGTGTGCTAAACCTTTTCCCTACTTTATATTACAGTGTTTAGTATTTTGACTATAACATCGTCATTACTCAATGAAAATCAAAAAATTCTTTTACCAAAATGATCAGCGAAAAAAGCTCTACAAAGTCCGATATAAGAGAAAATTTTTAGAGTATCCTTATTATTCGTTTATGCGTAAAAACAAAAATGTACATGCTTTTTTGAGCCCTCACTGTATCATATATGTTGAACATCGTGTCTTATGTGTACACGTGTTTCTTTAATCGACAAAGCAAGAAAATCTTACACTTAGTCGAACTATTATTTATATACTTGTCAAGTGACGACATGCATTGAATTGGTATTATAGAGATGTGAGACAATCGTTTGAACTGTCACCGCCACACAACCATCGTATTCGCTCTTTTACATTTCAAAACTTTCTGAAATGAAGAAAATTTTTAAAACAATTCATTAAAAAATTTCAGCCGCCGCCGATCAACGTATTGGCTTACACTTCAAGGTATCATCCAATAAGAACTAAACAGATGATCAATAGAAAAAAAATTCTTTTGACTATCGCAATGATACAATTCAGGTCATCATTTGAAAATATAATGAAGACCCTCAGTCAATGAATGAATTCATTTTTGAACTATTGTAATATAAAATAATAAGATGAAAGAAAGACTCTAGTTCAGAGATATTAGTGTGCCGCAACTATATTTCCCTGCTGTGGTTTTCTTGTGTTCATATCAAGTCCTCTCCTGAAAAATCGATCTTAGCCTAGGCACATTCAAATCGGATGAAATTTTCAGCCCTATACCATGTTGTTTTCGTGAAATATTCAATAAACAAGGATAAAAAGCAGCTTATTTGGCAACCAAAATTCTCTGTGAGCCTTCATTTTATAGACTTGGTTTTTTTTGTTTGAAAGAACATATTAGAACGTAAGGTATGACAGAGCTCTTTTTTTAAATTATCACTTTTTAGGACAAAACTGTCATTTATATATTTCAATTTTGATGTCGTCATTTGTGCGCATAGGTACGCAATCAGTACGCATGATCCACAAAATATTCTACGTGTGACGTGCGAGACGCTCAGTTACGCGCATTGACTAGTGGCTTGTGCTCGTCTATCCTTTTCTCTTGACTCATTCTTGCTTTCATGTTAGATCCTGTTCTATTTGCAATTCTTGCGGGTTTTGTGCTGTTACTATTTTTTGCATTTAAATTATATTTTGATAAGAAAAACATAAGCCGATGTCAGATGTCTGCCAATGTTTTATTTTTTAATTGAAGTAAAGTATAGCTCGAAGAAAAATAGAAATTTTGCATTACTCGATCTTTTTTGTACCGTCAATCGAAGAAAAATAAAAAACTGGAAATAATAATTAGATTTTTAAAAAATACGAAGATTACAGTAATAAATATGCATCGTACATTTTCGCTGAATCATATAAAAAAAACCTTTCGTAGAAAAATGAAATATCGAAATATTAATATAGTAGCATAATAAATTAAGAAACTTCCGATTAAGAAAAAATTAAGAAATCAAGTAAAAATTTTATTTGTAGATTCATATCAAATTATAGAATATTTGAGGCAATATAACATTTTTAGAAATACCTAAAAAGAATATTGTAATTAATTTAGATAAAAAAATTAAGAGAAATTTTTCTATAACTACATTGTACGATATGACAAATGAAATAATATGAATACTTTAAAAAACTATCATGTTTTTGCATGACCAAATGAATAAACATGTTCGAACAGTTCAATAAGTAATCCACGAGAAAGTCATTGATTCATCGTCATTGTAAAATTTGTCGGAAGATTTTCACAGAAACAATCAAAACGATAGTTTGAAATGATCAACGTAAAATTAAATCTTATTCTATAAAAATTCTATTAATGATTTAGATTTAGTTATCTATAACAGATGTTCTTTGTTCTAAATTTTTATCCAAGAATATTTCTTTTTTGTGATTTCATAAGCAGTATAAGTAACAACATACGATGATGATTGAGTGCGTGAATAGAATTGGTATTCGATCGAACTATAACCTCAGAAGTTTTTTTTTTCATATTAACAGATAAAGTTGAAATGAATTTGCAAGAAGTTGAAAATTATTAAAAAATGTAAAACTATTTCTTTTGGTTGTTTATGAAAAAATGATGAGAATGAAATCTAAATTAATGGATATATTAATAAAAAATATCAAAAATAAATGAATAAATTTAAAATAATAAAAGAAATTAATATAACAAGAACCTGTTAATTAATACTTATGTATTCTATTAGTGAAAAAAAGTTCTCCACTATATTGTATGTTGTATCCTTTGTTTGTGCCATTTCTATTATTCCATAGACCTACGACAGTTTCATATCAGTTATGATCTTGAGAACTGTCCCAACAGTTCTTTTTTAATGAACTGATGCCGTCAGACATATCATTTTCACCTTATCATGAAATTTAAGATTGTTTCATTCTGGTCCATGCTTATGAGCTGCACAAATGTGCTGAAACTAAGCTAACGAAAATTTCATGCTAGAATAGAAGAACTCGATTCTCTAAAAATGCACCTGATGCTTCCTACGGCGAATGAAAATAAACTTGACATTTCTTTTGTTAATATTATTGAAATTATTTTTGTATTCTAAAAAAAATGTTTATTTTTATTATTTAATTAAATAAAAGAAAAAGAAAACAACGAACTCAAATTCCTGCATCGAAATATGGACAAAATTGTTCATTAGCGATCTGATTTCGCAAAATAAAAACATGTATGTCTCACGATAATGAAATTATGTAAAGCTTATATTTGTGCTTTACATGTATGTTAAGTTACTCTGGATATCCTGAAAAAAAATCACCCTTAGAGATATTTTTTCAGAAGAATGGTCAGTAAAAAGCTAGACTTAGTGACATACTAGAAAAAAAAGGGCATCGACTTTCGCTTCATGCATATGAGTTTGAAAAGACTTCCCGTCGAGGCAGTATTTTTGAAAACTAAATAGTACACGGTGTAGGCAACTACTGATATCAGAAAATCTCTCTTCAGTTTTTTCTGAGCATATCTAAATTCTTGAAAACAAATCAACTTTCTTTTCGTTAGCGATCTGATGAAGTAAGGACATATAGACGAAAGCAGACTTTTATAATCGAATGAAAAAATCAAAACCAAGTCCAAAGCCTTCTTCAGAATTTCTAAATAATGGTAAGAGAAAAAAGTTTTGTTTCGGGACTTAATACGATCTGTAGAAAAATCGATTTTGAAGAGGGAGATTTTTTGGAGTCCGAACTTGCTAAAAATTCGACTATTGATGCAATTCATGTCGTAGAACCTATCTTGAAGCTTTCGAATTTTCTCGTATAGTTAGAGAGATACTCGCTAATTAATTTTTTAATTAATAGTCAGTTGAAAGAGTCAACATTTTTACATATGCCTGTACTAATAGAATATAATTAAAGAAGTAACGCTTGTAAAAAATCAAAGTAAAATAGAAGGTGGCTGTCTCGTTTGGTTTCAAATAGCTCGTATATTTGTTTTTCAATATCATTATAATCTGTTCTTAAAATAATAATTGTAATCATTATATAACGTAACATACTTTTATCAATTATGGTAGAAAAACTGAATCAATTGAATTATCGTTAATAATAATTGTTTGCGATGATCCGATTTTTGTTGACAGTAACAGATATAGACACATAGATACTAATACTTGAAGACCGAAACTAATATGTTTCTTTTTTTTTTGCTATTTTTTGAATAAGAAATAATATTTGCTTTTGTCTGTTATACATAATGTAATAAGTTTCCTCCTTTAGAAGAAGTTAAACATTTAATAAAATTAATTCTAATGAAGCAAATAAACATGGTTTACTTGGTAAAATATAATCTTCATTAACAGTTGTCGTAAGTGTCCATACGCTTTTGAGTCGGGATTTAGCGCAGCTTGTAAACCTTGATGAACTATGTCTACTATAAAAAAAGAATCATGTCGATGGTTTGTTTCGGAGGTGATTGAATATTATTAGTAAATTCTCGTTGTAGAACCCCACATTGCAGGAAGGCTGTTTTCGAATTTTGACTTAAAATCTTGTTCACATAAAGATCTTAATTAAACTAACTTGCATAAAAAGTTTCAAAATATTAGAATTAAGCCTCTGCGAGGCATGAAGCTTTTAAACAAAGTACTTACTGTATGTACTATCAATAGAAAAGAGTCTATACCTGTAAAGTTTTCTATTTCGAAGAGAGTTAGTCCGACAAATTCTGAAACTTTTTATGCAAGTTAGTTTTATTGAGTTCTTTATATATCCAAAATTTCAGATCGAAATTTGAAAATATAGTACATTTTAAATTCATCAAAAATGCATTCTAGATTTTCTCAGAAAAAGACCACAAACACAAACTCCTTTATGTCTAAGATTTTACCTTGAAGAATTTTTTGCATACAGTTTCATTCTTTTCTTTATCATCATTACTACTAATCAATCGAAAATTTATCAAAAATTTTCTTCGATTTTTTATCAGTGAAGTTTTAAGCCTAACTAAATAACTGGTTTTATTTAATGAACTTCTTTTCATCACGTATATTTATATTATGTTCACAACAATAAATCCTTTTTAATAAATATGTTTGACTTTGAGATTTTGTGCTAATGAATTCACAAGAGATATTCAACCTGAATATGGATCAATACGAAATAAATCGTATGATTTTATTCTTTTAACTGTATCGATTGAATATGCACAATCATCTGACATATCTTCATTAGTTCAACATAGAAGTTCAGCACCAATTGGAATATTTTTTTTACATTGAATAAAAGAAAGTTAAAGATATTTTTATTACTTTAATTGTATTCATATTAATCCAATTATTAGTTACGTTACTGCGAAGTACAAATATATTTCTTTGATAATTTAATTCTTGAATCGGACGCATAGGAATCAAATGACATCTTTGAAAATTTACATAAAGATATCATATATGACAAATATTTCCAAATATAATAGGTCATTGTATTTTATTAAATCGAGTATTTTTTCGAAAATATTAAAAATAAAATTTTCGAACCAAATTCAGTGGCTATTAATCAATCAATATTTACTGTTGACTCAATTGTTGATAATGATGATTTATTACATGAATGAAATTCATTGGCAATATTTTACGAAATGAAACTTTACATCGACAAATAAAACGTTATTTGAAAAACAAAGATATTAGTTTTGTAGAGCAACAAATTCTCTATCGAATGAATCTAAAACAAAGCCTTTACTGCCGTAGAAAGTGCTCAAAAAAGAGAACATTTTAATCCATTTACTATGCGCCATCCGTTAGTTTCTATAGTAGCGATGTTAATTAAAATATATAAGATCATAGATGACTAATTGTGATCTTGATTCGATAATTAAATCAAACTAGTCAACACTTTCATTCAATGGAGACTACAAATCATCATCTTGAAATGATATCTAAATTGCGGCAACGTCTTTTACGTCTTATTAAATTAGGTGAACCAATAAATCAATTACGTTCAACAACACAAACAAATAATGATAATAATAACAATAATACTAGACCATCGATTGATCTAACAGCAAATGTTGAAGAATGTGTTCGATGTCTTTTCAATAGTTTATGTTCAGTTGAAATATTTATTCAAGATGTACAACAAATATTAAATGTTACTATTAAAAGTAGTTTAAGTCTCTTTCTTGCCGAGACAATTCCACTTGCACATCAATATTTACAACAACATCAATATGATCCACTTTCATGGGATACATTTAAAACGATTGCATTACCAACAACACTATCTGTAGACTTTTCTTACATAGAAAAAGAGTTCTTAAATATCAATTTTCTATGTTTAGAATATAAATTCTAATACATCTAATCAAACGACAAATATAACTCGTCTTCCATCATTACAACAAGCTTGTTTTCGTCTTCCACCATCATGTCCACAACTAATTGATCTTACTTCGTCCTTATCAACTCGTTCAATACAAGAACAAACATTTATAACACCTAGCATACGAGCAGATGCTAATCCATATGAACACAAATTAATTAATCGTTTTGCTCGATATAATTTTTATTTAAATGAATATGGTGAACAATTATTTCTACAAACATTATACACATTTCTTAAATATATTATTCGACGTCTTCTTTTTTTTACTCAACATCGAATTGATACACGATTATTAGATTCAAATAGATATGAAATGACAAGTAACGTACGTGAACAAATGCGTTTTCTATTTGAATTAAATAAAGTACAAAATGGCGAATCAAATAATAATCTTAATAGTGGTATATTTCAACGGAAATCCGAATCGATTAATATAGTTGATGAAGAGCAAAAGCGAACACGAATACGTGATTATCGATTATCAATTATTGAACAATTACGACAAAAAGAAGCCGACGAAACAGCATGTCTTGTCTTACGTGAAAGTCGTTTAAAACGACAAAAAATATCAGATAATAATCGAAACATAATGCCAACAAGAATTCTTCGAGCTAGTTTACAAGAACTTATTGCTGTCATGGAAAGTGAACCGATATTAAAACGATCAAAAACATTACTATATGCTTATGCAAATAGATAATGTCATTTTTGTTTTCTAATAAGCCTGTCATAGTAGTTATTCATCATTTTCTACCTGAATAAATCAATCAGAAAAATTATATATTTCTATATGTAAATCACTCAAAACAGAATTGCATTCTATAGACCTCTGTCGATCAGCATATGAACTGGTTACATTATAATCACCCAGCTAGATGGCTTCGTTGCATACAAAATGTCACCTGAATGGTTGAGAATGAGAGTAGTCAAGTACAACATACATAAATTTTAGCTTTGTACATATTTTTAATAATGTTTTTCAATCGAACTCAATATTTTCAATTAATCTCAAAAATATTTACTCAACAACGACGAGAATATACCCAAATACGTCAATTAGAAGAATTACAGCGACTTTATGATTTATTGAAACATGAATCTTTATGTAAAGTTTTATTTTACTTAATTTTGTTTGATCATTTTTTCTTTGAATTAGCTTCAGTACATGGTTATTCTAACAAAATGGATCCCAATGGAATATTTTCTAATAATGAATTAGATTTACAAAAAATACAAGTTTATGGTTTTGATTTTGGTTTGTTATTCTATTTATCAAAATAAATCATGTTTACTTTTCTTTCTCTATAGATTATACTTTAGCACGTTATAAACCAGCATTACATTCATTAATTTATGATCATGCTAAAACATTTCTTGTTAAGAATTTAAGAGTAAGATTCATTATTATCTCTATAATAAAGAAAAAGAGATAAATTCTTTTTCTGAAGTATCCAGATGATTTAATGAATTTTTGTTTTCGACCTGGTATGGGTGCACGTGGCCTTCATTTAGATATAAAACGTGGATGGTTAATGAAAGTTGATAGTTATCATAATATTCAATTAGGCACTGTTTATCGGTGAATATTTAGGAAATCTTTTTTAAGTAATATTTTGATTTTTCTTTGAAGTGGTATGAATCAAATATCTGATGAAGAAGTAATAACTACACATCATGGTACAAAATTATCAGTTGATATTGTTGGTTATCTAGGAAAAACAACGAATATGTTTCAATTTGTTGATATTTTCTCAATTCCTGAAATAACACTGTTACGTGATGTTACTCAAGTATATTAAAGAAATTTTATTTTTATATAAATTAATATTTGTATTTTAGTATTTTATTGACAATAGTATTCCATTTGGTTCGGAATATGTATTTTATGATGTTTCGGTTCGTTGAATAAATCAATAAAAATAAAATAATTTAGAATGTTTTTTTTTTTGTCAGGAAGCAGTTACTGTTTTTCATAAAAGTGGAATAATGCATCAAATAGTTGGAGAAGATGTTGGTGAGTTATATATAAAATAGTTATATGAATGAATATTATTTGAAATTTTAAATAGAAACTTATTTTGAAGAAAATGTTCGTTTAAAACCATTTCTACAACGTCTTCATGATGCAAATAAACAAATATTTTTAATAACAAATAGTGCTTATTGGTATGTCAATCGTGGTATGAGTTCTTTACTTGGCGAAAATTGGCGCGATTTTTTTGATGTTATTATATGTCAAGCTAGAAAACCATCGTTTTTTGGTGCAGAGCAAAGGTTTAGATTAATTTTATATTGAATAAAAAGTTATTGTCTATTTTTGTGATTTAGACCATTTCGAGAAATAGATGTGAATAACAATTCTAAATCATGGGATCGAGTAAATGTAATAGAACACGGAAAAGTTTATGTTGAAGTGAGTTATTGATATAAAAAAGGAAATTTTTTTTTTGTTCAACATTCGATTTATTATAAGGGTAATCTCGCAGATCTTATAGAAATGACACATTGGAAAGGAAATGATGTTCTTTATATTGGCGATCATATTTACGGCGATTTAGCAGTAAGTTACTCAAATATATACATGAATGATATTTAACTGCGCATTATTAGGATTTATTTCTTAAATATGGATGGAGAACAGGCGCTATTTTAGAAGAAGTTGAAGTCAGTAATTTAAATAAAATTATGCAAAATTGAGAATTGTTCTTTTTTTTATTGAAGGATGAAATAAATATAATTAATTCTGATTCATTTCAAAAAACAATTCAATGGGTAAAAAAAATGAATTTGAACAAAATAAAATAAAATAATATTATCTATTTAATTATTTTATCAGTTAAATGTTCTTCAATGGCTTATTAATCAGTTACAAGTAAGATTACTTACAATAAGCAACTATTCTACACGTCAGAATAAATCTATTTTGTTTTTATTAGATAGAACAAATTTTTAGCAATCTAAGAATTTCGAAAAAAGCTATGGATTCTCATTAAAATGAATTTTATTGTGGAATTTAATAAAAAAATAAAAATCTTAATCTTTTACCTCTCATTATGGTTATTGAAGAATCACAAATAAAAAATCCATTAAAAAAGAGTTTTAGTCTCTTTAGTAGGCCAATAGTATAAGCAGATCGACCACATGCTCTGTCTTGTATGAAAAATAATTTGGCAACTGCAGACTCCATTCGGGTTAACGACCTAAAAAAATCTATTTTTTTATCTTATGTGAGTAGCGTGTAGGGAGGGGGAAGGGTGCTGGTGAAGTGAAGGTCCTCAGACCTACATCCATCCAGAGAAATTTTGCATCTACAAGGAGAAAAGAAAACGACCATAGAAGAGTAAGTGATAGGCTACGGGACAGATGCCACCAGCAAACATTTATATAGTAACAAATAATGCTTGGATTATGTTTACATCAGAATGTCTAATTTTTTAAAATTTTATTTTCCCCCAATGCCAACTCCAGTTGCCATTTTGCCGATATTTATTTCATAGCACATCATCGAGATCTATATCTCTTGTTGTCAAAACGACAATTAGGAAAAAAGTGGGTTCTTCTTTTTAATAATACCATAGTCGTCTCTGTTGTAAGTTATATATCTTGAAGACAGAACAATGATACAAAATATCTTTTCTTGACCACTGGTGCCTAAAGGAATTTCCTACACAAAAATGGCAATTCTACTTGTCAATGGAGGTTAAAGAGTGAAATTAGTTATATTCGAAAAAGTCCGGAATAGAAGAATAAGTTTTACCGTTTTAAATACATTGAAGTTATTTATGGTCCTGGACAAAATTAGCTGTCTTCCATGAAGTATTACTATTCTCTATGATGTTGAACTGATATTATGGATGCATGTATGCGACAAGAAACCCTGACTGCAAACACCAACGCGCTTTTCCTAGGTTCACATATACTGGAGTTAGAATTCAGACATTATTTTTGTCTTGTGATCACCTTATCTCAATCATGTTAGCATAAATATTTTTGTCCAACTCCTCATTCGAAAGCCTATCATTGTAGTTATCTGTAGCCCGAATTCTGTTAGAAATCACTTTAAAATAACTGAGATGTTGTTTCCTCATTAAAAATGTGTGCTGAAGAGAAAATGTTGATTTTTAGTATAATGAATGTTTTTCATGAGACGACAAATCTAATCAAAATTTTGGAGAGCTGCAGAATTTAATGAAGTTCAGTTAGCACTACAGCATAATTTTACTATTTCATAGCGTGGCAAATTACAAAGATCGTGACGAAGTATCATGAACTTTAGTGACATTAACGTAGACATATGAGATTGCCTTTAGCACAGTAGTCGCTTGTGCAATAGAAAAATGATAATCAAAACTTTTTGACTGCATATTTTTGATGAATATATTTTTCACAAGGGCATGAACAAGTGTGAATTACAATTCGAGTACATGTGAACCGATGGAAGGTGGTTGGGTGCTTTCGGTCAGGGTTTATTGTCGTACGCATTCAGCCAAAATAGCAGTTCAGTATCATAAAGAATTTCAGTACTTACTAGGAGACGGCTACTTCTGTCCAGCACTGTATAAGCTCTCATGAAGCACAGCTTTAATTTGCCTAAGACTTAAAGAAGATCATTATCTCCTGAACAGCATTCTTAAAATAGTGCTTGTTTGGAAGACAATTTTTTTTCATAGATTGTTGTGACTTATTTGATTTATATTTTAAATTTAAGATCATTCCGGGTTCTGAGGCCGATGCTTTGATGAAAACTTGGGTGGCTGAACGAGAAGAAGAAAAGTAGGAACTATAAACATTTGTTCTTCTTTTTATATTCTTTTTTTTCGTTCTTCGAGAGCAAAATCTCGTGACTTATTTAATCCATATTTTGGTTCTGTCTTTCGTACACATACAGTACCGACATACTTTCATCGACGTTTAGCTCGTTTTGCTGATGTTTACACGTCAAATGTTTGTAATTTCCTCAATTATCCAGTAAGAATTAATTTCTTATTAATTTCATTCTTCTTTTTATATTTATTTTAATATAGCTTGATTATGTATTTTATCCTCGTCGTGTGGCATTGGCACACGAGAATGTTTTACCAACGCCAGATATTAACTTACTTTTAATGGACACTGCTCGACATGCGATGCGTTTTGAGACAGCACGTGTTCAACACGTAGAGGGAACACAATGAAAAACAGATTTTTCTTTTAGCCCAATTGCTTTTCATTTTTATTTTTACGTTGTATTTTTTTGTAATACAATAGATATTTTTTTTAAATATAGTTCTAGTAAAAAGAAGTTTTCCACCCTTGACAGCAGTTCTTCATTATTTTATGTTTAACTTGACTTTGAATGTAAGCATATGCGTTTGGCACTATTACTCGGCATGCTTTCATATTCCATTGAATAAACAAGTCATTGCCATTTGATAGCAACAAAATAGTATCAAACACAAAAGACCCAATGGCAAAAAGTGCTTGAAAATTTTCGCTTCTATAGACTCATTAAGATTCCTTCGGTTGTAAATAATACCAATGGGAAGAACTTGAAAAACTGACAGATTGTAGATATGTATTCGTTTTGGAGATTATAGCAGATAGAAATTTTTCGCTGGAAAATGCAAATAATCAACAGGAAGCTATTGAAAAACTACTGTTAAAGAGGAGAATTTGTCTTGAAGAGCAGAATGAATTCTACAAAGCAAGACATTTTTGCAC